TTATTATTATTATTATTATTATTATTATTATTATTATTATTATTATTATTATTATTATTATTATTATTATTATTTCCCTATAGCTCAGTATCCAAGTCCACGATATCTAAAAAAAAATAAAATAAGGCAGAAAAAACCTACATTCAGCCACAAGAGGGACAGGTCGTCCTGCAGAGAGTGTGCCTCCCCAAAGAGCCCTGACCTCAACATCATCCTGTCATTATATGAAGAGACAGAAGTGAAGAGACCTGTGTGTATACCTACATGAAGGAACCACAACTCTGAGAGGAACGGTGGTCACACCAAAATATAATTATCATTTATTATTTCATTTTACTGCTTGAGTTATGTGACTAGTCTGCAAACAGGAAAAACAAAAACAAACAAATCCAAAAAAAAAGAACAAAACCTGCCTTTATATCTTGATACGTCATCGTCAGATGATTTTGCACAGTTCTGTGTTACGACATATCTTAGAAGCAGCTTCAGCGACAAGTTCCCACTTTTTTTTTTATGTAAGGGTGACTGTAATTAGGTAACAGCCGCGATCAATGAGACCTTGGGTTATATCACATTATTTTAGGAGAGTCAAGGAACTTTTCTGCTTAGGCGAATGACTGCGCACTTCAGCCACATTGGTCATACGCACACTTGTATAACCGTTTAGATAACAGTCGGCCGCTCTGAGCCGCTGTGAGCCAACCATCGCCACTGCTTCATTCACCGGCAGCTGCGTCGTAGTGATTTGCTCTCGCTTCTCTCACGCCGGCAGTAGCCGTGGGTTTCCACGTGAAAGCGGTGACACACTTATATAAAAGGAGTGGCATAAGGGGGGACCAATCACAGTGCGGAGCGGCGGTTGGAGCCCCCGCCCGTGAGGGGGCGGCTGGCGCTGATTCGATGCGAGCGCCGTGACGTAGAGACCGACAGGTTCGTGGGCCAATGAGCGAAGGAGCTGGAGGATGGCTGTCGAAATGAGGTCACTGCCAGCGCTGGAGATCCAGGGCAGAGTCCCGGTGTGAGTGGGAATCAGGACGGGGTAGAGGGCATCGCTGAGAGACGAACACAGGGCTGTCGGGACCCGCTAATCATCGCAGCACGGATCCAACCGCAGAACTACACCAGAGGCCAGCCTTTATTTCCCGGAGACACCCGGAGCTAAAGACGATCAGCCTTCTGTCAGGTTGGTGGGAGTTTCTCTTTTCTTTCTTTCTTTGGTGCGTAAGACGCTGCAGCGCTTCTCAGGGTTGTAGAACGTGTAGGGGTGAAGCCGACTCCACTTTTATCCAGCTGTGCTCTGAATGTGTAAAAAGGCTCTGCTGTGGGATCGCGGGAGGTGAAAGTTGCATAACTGTGTGTTGCCGTGGGGGTCAGGAGACTCCAACGGGACACCAGCTGTGCCTATGTAACAGCGGGAGCGGAACGAAACTCGCCGCACTTTAAGGTGAAATACCGGTGGTGGCCTGCGCTCAGAGGACCTTTAACATAAGGGTTTAATCTGGCAGGTATTTCACAGCGGCGGAGAGGGCAGCGATGGCAGAGTCGCATATGGCGCACTGTTTGTAGTGTTACTGACACATGAAAACTCCTGACGACTTACATAAAGAGGCTACTGCAGCAGCACATGGCAGAAGTTCACACGCAGTTCCTATTAGAAAACCTCTGGGCTGTGCGCCACGCTTTTCTGAATAGGCCGAGTCAGGCTGCTGGTATTCGCTACAGTGAGACAATCCTTATATGAAAGCATTCATTCATCTTCAACAGCAGCAGCAGCAACAGAAGTCCTTACAAGGGAAACTGGAGAGAAAACAAAGTAAATGCTGATTTTTAATTTTGCTAAAAGAGGATAAAGACAAGTCAAAATGCGGCATGCAAATGTGGATCATAATTAATGGAAGAAGTGTCTGCGTGGAAGGCTTAATTTGGGTGTATTCACCTTGCCCTTTGTGATTGAGGAGGGAGGAGAAAGATGAGTGACGCAAATAGGGCTCAGTGGAGATCTCATTTATGCATTTTTGTTTTACTGTTGCAATAAGAACGGTTGCCTTGGCACAGCACTCCCTGCCCACAATCGCAGTGGAGCAGGAGATGAATTTGCAGATTTCTTTCTCTTTTTTTTAACCATATGTCACTCGGAGTTTATTGTTATGATAAATAGTTAAAAACATCTTAAAGCACACAGTGCTGTAGGACAGTCTAAGGGAAAGGTGCCAAAGCAAACGTGCAGCAGTTTTGATGCAGTCGTGCTGAAAATAGTTGGAATTTTCTGCTTGGACTCTGGTGGTCTACAGCAAAGAAAGTCATAGGTGGTCTCTGCAGGTGTGCGCGCGCGCACTACGAGTCTTATTTACCGCAAGTTTTTGAGTTGTCATCAAGGACAGATGTAGGTCAGGGAATTATGAAATAATCCCAAAGAGCGACTGCAGTCATGTCTGCACGTGAGTGGAGTCATGGTGCATACAAGTCATTGTTTTGCACTTTTTTGCATGCATGTAAGAACTGAGACGCTAAAGTAAAAACATACCATCATATTAAAGTGTGCAAGACACACCATGCACACACTGGTGGAAACCCCCACATTAAATCCATAAGACTTCAGACTCCTTGAGACTAAATCCTTTAGCCTCTCTTTTAGTACTTATAGGTCGTTTAGAAATTAGGCTTTTCAGCCTCCATCTGCTAATTTAAACATGCAGTTAAATTTTGTGGTAACACAAATGATGGTGTAAGAACTTTGCCTACAAAAACAAATCATTGGACAAATATCTTGAAGTGGTGTTTATTTTTTATATTAAGCTTCTAAAGTCATTATTACATCATTGTTTCAAGGGCAACCCCATGAATCTGAGGTTCTCAGACATCATGAGGGGGGCAGAGTGCCAGAAACACTTTGAGAAACACTGCCTGTGTGATAATAATGGAAATGTAATGGACTCCTTCTGCACGTTGCACATAAATCTGCAGCTACTTCTGTGCGGTTATAGGAGTTGTTTTGAGTCCAATTAAAGTGTAATAAACATATTAATTATGCAGTTGTGGTGTGTAAAGATTAATTATGAATGAATCCTTAGAACGTCTTTCATTTGGCACAGTTGTGTAATCTGGTGCTGGTTATTTCCCCTAGAAAAGATGAATTACATAAAAATCACACGAAGGGGAACGTAGTGAGCAGATGGCACAGAGTATCAATGAATGTTATGAAATAAAATTACAGCTTGATATGGAGCTGTTTGTAAAGCTAGAGCATTTTTGATCTTATGGACTTTTTCATATTCAATTTCAAGTCTAGCATGCAATATGCAGTAAGGAATGGGTAATATGGTTTGTTTTTTTGGTGAGAGTTATTATGATATAATCTCAGGTTCCTGTATAGGTAGCAGTTAAAACATCTGTAAGTCAGCTGGTACTCACAGTGTATTACCAGTACGGTGACATTTGTACCTAACATAGTGGATCTTATTAAGTCTTATTGTTTGGATTTCAGGATGGAAGAGTTTTGACTTTTTAAACAATGAGTCTTTTGGGTTGTTTTTTTTAAGTCAGCAGCAGGAGGTTTTAATATTTCTGGTAACTCTGAATAAGACCAGCAACAAAACAGAAAAAAACTCTAAGAAGGACCAAGGTTATCTGGAAATATGTTGCAGACAGTCTGTTTTTCCAGCCGTCTAGGAAAACTGCGGTGACGACTAGAGCGATGAATAGATTCAGGGGGCTGAACACATGTAATCAAATCTTAATTTGCCACCTTAATTACAACCTTAGTTTTAATGTTTTAAGCTCTAAATGGGACATTTTGTCCTTGAAGATTCAGAAAGGCCAAGTGAGCATCGTGTTCCCAGAAGAACGACCATCTGATTGCATTAAATGGATTGAAAGTGTTGGCGAAGATTTGCTAATACAGAGGCTGTAATTGCGTTATGTTTCTGATCTTACCTTGTTTGTCACCTGTTACCTCGTCTGCTTACCTCAGTGGAGGATATAAAGGCTTCCTGACCGCTTCCTTTGACAAGAACTGCATTGTAACTCACGCTTAATAGTATCACTGCCTGTGTGTATTGATTATGCAAAGCTGGTGAAAGATAACCAAAAGATAACCCTGCACAAATGTCACGTGAGGGACGAGTATGAGTCAAGGTCCCTGCGAGCTTACCCAGTTAAAAATGATGATTAGTTTCTTACTGGGCAACAGGAAATCCATTTTGTTCTCTCCTCTGCTTCCTTGGCAGCTCAACTGGATGGAAAAGACCCAGTTAATGACAGGAAAAAAGGAACAATCAAAGATGCTGAAGTGGCCTCGGGTAACCTTGACTACAGAGAAGAAACGGACATCCATGGGCTTTTTTGAGAAACGATTAACAGGTGGTGGGCCAAGAGTAAATGCTGAAAATGAACCACCGTTAATGACTTTTATTGCATGGGTTTATTGACTCTTTCTTGTTAATTGTCTTTTACGCAAATAAAAATTAGAGAGGGGGATCTATTTTGAGTAAGTCCTCAGCTTCCATAAACAAAATAGTGTAGTGTAGAGCAATAAATTACATAAACTTCTCAGTGTTGCCAGAGTAGCTTGGATTGTCATTGCTGGACCATCATGTACTATGTAGCCTACTTTCAGACATGTGACAGGTCTCTGTTCACATTCTTAGCCTTCCATCCAAATAAGAATTTGATGGAGTGTATTTTATGGGGGCCTTGATCCAAAACGCAAACAAAAACAAAAAAGCTTTCACATTCTTTACACCACCACCTCAGTTTCTGCTCTTAGATGACAGGAGTGGTGTTCAGTGTGCTCTTCTGCTGCTGTAGCCCATTGACTTCATGACTGCTCTTCTGTATACTTTGGTTGTAACAAGTTGTTATTTGAGCTACTGTTGCCTTCCAAACCAGGTCAAAGCAGTCTGGCCATTCACCTCTGAGCTTTGGCATCAGCCAGATAACTGCAGCTCACTGGAAACTGTCTGTTTTTTGACCACTATCTGCAAATCCTTGAGCAGTCAGTCTGGCGCCAACAATGTGTTATGCTCAAAGTCACTTAAATCACCTTTGCTCCCCAATTCTGATGCTCAGTTTGAACTTCAGCAGGTTGTCTTGACGATGTCGACACGCCGGTATGCATCGAACTTCTCTTATGTTATTGGCTGATTAGATATTTGCATTAAGAAGCAGTTGAATACCTAACAAAGTGAAGAACAGACAGTTAAAGCAGTCCATCTAGTCCAAGGAGAATATTTTTGAGGATGGATGAACTTTCTCTCTCTTAGCTTTTCTAAGTATCTGATCCTGCTCGTGTTTGGTAACCGTCTCTCTTAGTATCTTTCTCAACCGACTGTCTGCTGGTATTGAGCCAACTGGCATGATAATGAGCGATAGAGGTCAATGTTTGGTAGGCAGTTGGCAACCAGTGCAAACTCCTGGACTTTGTGAATGTTAGAAACATTGCCAGTCAGCTCTTCAACTTTGGACCAGACTTGCTTTTGCATTTTCTGCTTCTGCAGCAGCGCCTGCCAAAAACCCCATCCATTTAACTAAAACGAACTGGTCAGCGGTCAGTGAAGAATGTTCAGTATGTACACTATGTTGGGTTTAACAAACTCTTTCATTTATAATGTCCGCTGTGCATCATGATGGACTTTTTGTGTGAAAGGAAAGACTGAAAAAAAGCCACAAAGCTCATCTCACTTTGCAGCGATGACAAGTCATTGCCAAACTCACTGCTCCAGTTAAGCTTGCCAAGCAGTCTAAAAACTACAACACAAGTTGCTCACTTGTCCCTTAATTGTCCCTATTATTTGGCTGTACGTTGACCCAGTTCACAGAGAGAATATGCCTACTTCACAGCATGTCAGGGATATGCAGGCTGCTGACTGCCAACTGCTTTCTGCCATTTGAAAAGGCCAACAGATCTGCTCATTATTAATGCAAATACCTCAGTACCCTTGACAAAGTAAGGATGACTGTGTGATGTTGCGCAATCGATGGGCCAGCCCGATTTGCAGACAATCACGTGCACACATGCAATAAAAGTTTAGTAAGTGATAACGTTTTTAATGCAAAGTCAAGAGGTCAGTGTTGCAACCTTCGCCTTGAACTCTAAACTGCTCAATGAGCCAAATTTTTCTGTTTTCTTTTCTTTTTTTCGTAACTTTAATCATATTTTTGTGTGAATTTGAGAAACTGAGTCGCGCTGCTTGTGTGGTCCTTGTGTTTTTAGTTGTATCGTGCTTTAAGAAAAGTATCAAATCCCTCTGCGCTTGCTCAATTCTTGTCAGTCATTCTGTCTAATTTGACCTGTGTTCTATTTTAAGTAAAAGACAAACAGATGATGGTCGAACTTATCGATCAGGTGCAACGTGAGTAGAAAGTAGGACAAATCTACAGTTTTGAAAACCCTTCAGAAACAACATGAAAAACACATTTTTGTCAAGCCAGCAACTTTTTTGTCACATACTGTACACACACACACACCTTTCAAACAGGTCATTACCAGATCAATAGACAACAAACATTAGTGACATCCAAACACCTGCCTACGTAAAAGTCGTTGCACTTCTATGGGCTTGACGTTGAAAAGCTAACTCTGTGAGGCTAAATCCACTTCTGCTTCCGGGCTTAGTGACTTAAGGAGGGCATAGAGCTGCCGTGTGTCTTCAGGCTGAGGAGAATATAGACATTTTCCATTGCACGGCTGGGGAAAGGCATTCTAGTGACGAGGGAGATTATTCCTGGAAGGCATCCAAGACTAGAGGTTAAACACGGGCACAGTGTGGCTTTAACTTCAACATGCTGCCCAGAAACAGAACTGAGTGACTGATAAGATTTTATTTGAATGACTGTAAATCTCAAGTTTGAATATATGTTTTGGGAACATTCATCTTTCTTTGACTAAAAGGAAAAAAAAAACAATATTTGAACTTAGTTTAGTGAAAAGTACTTGCACACCAAAGCAATCATACAAACCATGGGTTACACTGCATCACTGTGCGTAATTAGTTTAATTCTGTATCATTACAGAGTGAAGCAGCACATACTGCCTTTTTAATCTGCCTTTTTTACCATTTGGTCTTGCACATGTCGTACACGTGACTCTCACAAAGGTTCTCACCTGACTGATTTGACTGTGCAAATTCTCTTGTAAATTTCCAGTCTTTAGCTGTGATTCAAAGTGCTGCCCTTTAGAAAGAGTTTCGCTGCTGATAAATCAATTTCCAGAAACGGCCTGTTGAGGGAAAAAACTTTTAGCCGCTTCTTCTGATCATAGCCATCACCATGGCCTTTTTCTTGTTTACTCCAAACACGACACTGTTGATGTTCTCACCGAGCTCTGCGTCACTTACTGTAACCAGAAGTAATTCCAACCACCAGTATTTGGGAATCTGGCTTTTGTACTGCATCATTATTTAACGGAGCACAGGTTTTGCACAGTTTGTCAAAAAACCACAGAAAACAGGCCAAAGCCCCTTCACTGTTGGCCTGCAGTGTATGATGGCATTCAGCTTGTCTGGTGTTTCATGTGTCCCAGAGTGAAAGATCCTTTGAAAGGGTTGGAGGGCTCACATGGGACAGGCCTGCTGTTCTTAAAGGCCACGCTGTCTGTACCACACAGCCATTTTTACAGTACATCAGAGAAGAATCTGCAGGGCTCTTCACAGGTCAGGGGTCAAAGAGCACAATGTGCTCTGATTTCACACCAGACAAAGACGAGACAGCTTTTTGAAGGATGGGCGCAGCATTGATTTGTGTCTCAAAGACTTTCTAAAAATATGTTGTTGTTGTCTGCAAATGAAATGCTGGTGGGTTCTTTATGTTTTGACTAATTAAATGCAAATTGCATATGGTTTGGAGTAATCCTGACCAATCTCGCAAGCATGTGTTTGACTGACCTTGCTTCACCCAGGCATCTATTGAATTCAATTTCTGTTGGCATTAACAATAATATAATAGCACATCAAAATTTAGTTGACTCAGGGTTTTTTTTTCCACTATCACTTCATTCCATCATATATTACCCATTTATTTACATATAATGCAGTCATAAAATGTGGAATGGACAAGTTTTACTTCATTACTAACATGCGTACTCTCTTTCTCTCCGCAGATCAGTCCACTTCTTCTTTATTTCCCTCGGCTATTACCCTTGTAAAAATGGGGTGATTGGTTTTTTTTTTTATCATCTAGTAAACTAACCTGGAACAAGGCCTGCGTAGATCTCCTGATGTCAGAAGATTCAGACTCCAAGCCCTACTGCTTCCCAGGTTTGGAAGATCAGGATGGAGCCTCGAGTTGCAGAGCGTCCACTTCATGCAATTCTATCCCAAGGGGGGACCCAGGGTGCAGCTCCATGGCACAGCTGCACCGTATGGGTGCCTTCAGCCAAGGTAGGCCTGACCTGGGCCTCCCTTCTGAGGGCAGCGACAGCAGCGATCAGGACCCTCCCGCTTCACCAGACAACCATCGCAAGAACGCTCGCTCTCGGTCACTACCCGAGGAGGATGTGGAGATGAAGAGTAGCGGATCGAGCGGGAGTGGGACCGAATCACACGGCAATGAAAGCCACGGCAATGAAAGTCATGGAAACGACAGCAACGGCCACGAGTCGATGGGAAGCTCCACCGGCAACAGCAAGGACTCGGCACTGCTTGAATCCTCTGAGAGCAATAAGAGGTCAGTGGTGGTTGTGGGAATGATAAAACCATTATGAGGGTTGCTCTTCGTCTTTGCATAGTAGCACATACAGACAATCAACCAAAGTACTGCGTCTTTGACAAGTCTTTGGCTGGTCTGATAAGCCAGCAGTAGGAGATAATAAATGGGGTCAAGACCCGAGGTCGCTATCTCGGGAATCTGCAGGTAGTTCAACAAAAAGAATGATCACAGCAGTCTGTGTCTGTGCTTACAAATTACCGTAGCAGCTGATAAATGTTTTTTCAAGACCCCATTAGATAAAAAAGAAAATGCCAAAAATGCCAATCCGAAGATAACACCAGCTTTCCTCATGGGAAAAACTGTGCTGGGTTATTTATGCTCTTTCCTTTTTCCTTTTTCCTCTTACGTAGTTACGTTTGCCCTTTGCTAATGAGTGACAACAATCGGCATAAAAATTGACCATCAACATGTCACAGTCATAATAAATGCAGTTAGCAGCAGCTGATGCATCCGCCCCCATTGGCTAATGCATGTAGATGAGTGAGTGAACCAAGGCTTCAGTGATGGCTGTCGTGCTCTTCGCCCCAGAAGCCCAATTGAAATGTAATTGTACACATCCTGTTTGTCATAAAATGTTACGTTGGGACTTTTGCCAAATGAGGATTAATTTGACATTATTTAGTATCACCGCAAACATGTTCTCACTCCCTAAACTAGATCTCATTGCCAGCTCACATTGCATAGAAGTGAGTCATACTAGGAGCAGTTGGTGTCTGTTTTTTGCACTTTTTTATAAAAGAATCCAACTTGATAAACATGAGCTGATTTCTATGTAGGACACACAAAAAACATGTTTTGGCAAGATACGTCCATGTGCTCCACGCTTCTGTTCGTTCTGGAGTAAACAGGTTGAAATGCAAACACTTGTACTGTGATGCTGTGTGGTTAGTGTTTAATTATAAAGGCTATTTTCATGAATTGTGAGGTGGTTTCAGCTTTATGTTTAAAGATGATCCTCACGAGAATTTAAAGGGTAGCATGCTGTGTGTTTTTCTGGATTTATGTTTACAGATGTGTTCTAATGTTCACTTTTCTCACTCTGAGTGAGAGTTAATGTTTGCTTACTGTCCACGGCACACCTTAAAGTTTAACTTAATGTTCAGTCACATCACAGCCTTAGTATCTGAAGAGTTGTTGGTTACAGCATTTCTCAAAGAAAACTTTAAATGACTAAAGTACGAAAAAATTTTAAAATCCCCTGCCTCTCCGCAAACGTGCAGACGTGACTTCATCATGATTTAAAAAATGTTCAGACGCAGTGCAGCCTGCCCAAGGCATGACTACAGCAGTGGAAAAAATAAAAACGACCATTCCTTCCAGTAGGAAAACTGGATGCTGGCTGTCGCTTTATAGCAGATGGGTTGTGTCATGCTCGCCAGCTCCTTGACATTTCTATGGCAACAAAATGTTTGTCTTTGTTTACTGGGTGGCGCCGGCCAAGTGGAAGGCATTGACGTTATACTGCCTCACTTTCAGCCTTGACTGGCTTACCTCACTTGATCTTTTCACTATGGAGTTTTTTTTTTATTTGTTTAAAAACCGCTCCTCTTCCTGTCCATATGCGCCTCGCACGCAATAGCTCCCTCCCTCAAAAAATGCTATTACTTTTTTTTCCTCCCTCTTCTTACTCACGCCGCTCTCTTTATTTGAACTTTTAACCTTTTGTACCAGTTTTTTTGCTATTTTTTTTCCTCAGCCTCTAAAAAATACTCCGTCTTTCTCTGTGTTTAGTACCTTGCTACCTGCATCTGTTGCTCTTTCTCATTCACCTTCCTCATTTAAATAGCAAAATTTAAGTGACAAAAGGGGGTTGGACATTTTGGTCCTTAGTGACACGGCGGCATCACACATTTGCTGCGGAGTTGTCAGCCTCACATCCATGATATGGATACCAACTTACCAAAGGTGCTCTATCGCACTAAGATCTGGTGATTGTGGACGTCGTTTGAGTACAGTGAACTTATTGTTCAGCTTTGTGTATTCAGGTTGGCTGTGGTATTTAAATGATACTCAGTTGATGCTAAGCAGCCAAAAGTGTACCAAGGAAATATTCCCCACAATTTACCGTCAGCAGCCTGATTCGCTGATACAAGGCAGGATGGATCCATGCTTTCATGTTTCACTTGTTTACTCCAAATTATGGCCCAATCATCTGAATGTCTCAGCAGAAATGGAGACTTGTCAGACTAGGCGTCGTTTCCCTTCTGTTCAATTTTGGTGACCTCGTGCAAATTTGAGTCTCAGTTTCTCGTTCTTAGCTAACAGGAGTGCAACCTGCTGCTGTAACCAATCTGCTTCAGAGTTCAGCGTGTTGTGCATTCATTCGCCTTCATACCTTGGTTTTAATGAGTGCTTATTTGAGTTATAGTTGCCTTCCTATCTGCTGAAGCCGTCCTCTGACATCAACCAACAATTTTCACTCAGAGATCTGCTGCTCACTGATTATTTCCTCTTTTTTGACCATTATCTGTAAACTCTAGAGATGATTGTGTGGAAAAATCCCAGCTGATCAGCAGTTTCTGTAATACTCAGACCAGCCTAACTAACAATCATGCCACATTTAAAGTCACTTACAACACCTTTTTTCCACTTTGTGATGTTTGCTTTGAACCTCTGCAGATTATCTTGACCATGTCTGCATGTCTAAAGCTTTGAACTGGTGATTGGCTGATTAGATATTTGCACGAACAGGCAGGTTATCATGTGCACCTACTTAAGTGGCTGGTATTTCACCCCATATTTTGTGTAAAGAGTAAGAACTCAAGTCAAATCATGCTTCTAATACACTGAAGCAAAAAAATTATGAAAATGGGACAAAAGTAAAAGCAGTTAATGAATAAATACACACTGTACTCTCTCTGAGCCTGTAGCTCCAGGCTCAGGTCCATCACTGGTCTGTTAGACAGTTTCATGTTGTGAGACCTGCAGGAGTATCCTTCAATTTTCCCCTTTAATATCCCACTTTATCCACCTGTGATGCTCGAGAGTGAAGCAAGGAGGGGAATGTACTTCAAGTAATAGTGTTATATGTCTTAGAGTAGGAGCAGACATTTGACCTTTAAAAGCATAGGTGTGAAATTATTCGTACAGCCAAATCCAGAAGAGCCACTGTTATGTCACCTGTCCTTTTTCTCCTGTGACAAGTCAAAATGTCTTCTGAGAAAAAGTAAATCTTTGTCGGCTGATATAACTCAGTTAACAGCCCCACATTTTAGCAAGCGTGGGTGACTGCCACCAGTTCTTCAGCTTTTAACATTTCTGTCGAGATTTATATCTGCCAGACATACAGAGATAAGCCAGCACGCAGATTTGAAGGAAGGGAAAGTCCAAAGTAAGAAACAGGTTCACGTTTTAGGCTTTAACAACTCTGGATCACAGTGCATCAAATGTGTAGGACATGTATCAAAATGCACCAATATGAAAGATATAAAAGATATATTTTATAAGTATTTCGTATAAGTATCGCTTAGTGTGGACAGGTGTTTCCATGTATGTATGCAGGATTTTAGACATAAAAAGGTTAAAAATCTCCGTTTGTAAAGATATTTACTTTCCATCAGTACTCCAAAGAGGAAGTCAGTCAGAAATGGGTCTAAAATATATTTCTTTGGACTAAATAGTTTAACTATATAAAGAATCTGCACAGCTATCAGTGAATGAATAACTGTTTGACAAAAGGCTCTGAATAGAAAATTGCATCCCTACAATCACTCTCTGTGTAGGAGTACGTGCGTCACGTCTGCATACTCCTCTGTAGAAATAATTACCATGTAGTGCCAGAACTGGATATCACTTGTACACTGCTATTTTAATCAACTCCCTAAAAAAGAAAATCAAAATTTTAATTCACATTTCTTGTTGTCTTTTCTCACTATTCATATAGTTCATATAGCTTTATAGTCGTCGTAGAGAATGAGCCACTGTTTTTAAGCGCACTGCAGTGTAAACTTACCTGTGTTATGGCTTCCCTGGGTTATTTATGTCTCTCAAACACGCATAAAAACTTGTCGCTCTGCAGTTTAAACAAGACCGCCTCACCCTGATCATCACCTCCTGTCTCTGGTGCACAGTGTAAAAATTAAAGTCTCTTTGAGCCTCTTTTTTTTTTAACTAATTGAAATAACTCAGAGTTAGAGCCACATTGTGAATCAGCGTGTCGACACTAACGCATGGTCACTCTGTACAGTCTAAAACCAGCTGTTGCATTTCCGAAGGCAATGTTTGACAGAATTGGGCTCTAATCGTGTTTGGACAGACTCTTTGTAAATAATATGTTTTCTATTCTTAGCCAAGTGATGAGGTTATTCATAGCAGCTTGCCGAGTTATAGTTCAGGTGAGTCAGTATCTCATAGTGGATACAGTGCAGTGCACCACTGATATTTGACAGTTTATACATATTTATCTTGAACTTTTTAGCCTTCTTTGAGATATGACTGTGGAGAAAGGACAGAAAAGCTGGAAGAAAGAGCCAGAAAAGACACCGCAAATAGCAGATTCAACCCAAGGTCTCTGCGTTAGCCTTACAGAATATAGGTCATCTGCTCTACCCAGTGAGCTAAACTAGCACACAAATGCCAATATGCCCCAGTGTTTGTAGGAAAACTAATATCAGTCTCTTTGTACCCATGGGCAGTGGGCATTAAATCACTCCCAAAAACTAATTAATAATAAACATGTTGAAGTTTAAGTTAATTGTGGAATTTAATGATCCATACTCCAAGTTACGATCTCTGCTTCCTCTGGGTTGCTTTCTCCTCTCTCGCTCTCTGTCCCTTTCTTCCTCTCTGCCTTTGCCAGGATACTATTTGCTCTGTCTCTCCCTCTCACTGTGTGTTCATCTGGAGCCTGTCCCAGATCACTTTGAGTGAGATGAGACATGGTACTCCCCTGGTCTAACACAGAGATCCAGACAATCACACATGCTCACTTTCACACCTACAGCCAATTTACAGTCACAAATTAGCCTAAAATGTTTAGCCTGTGGGAGGATGTCAGAACACCTGGAAGAAAACCTCATAAAGGGTAGGGAGAACAAAGCCTGTACAGAAAGTAGTAGTTTTAAATAAGTCTGTATGAGGTAACACCACCCACTACAACCTGTTACTAAGAGTACATGGTGTTTACCATTGCATTCCAGCAAAGACCCACCTAAAGAAAAATGATCATCTATTAAAGTGGACACCACACTTGTAATATTTTCATCACTTTACCTTGCTGCCCTTTCCGATCGGTAACTGAAGCCATTATTTTGATCTCCTCCAAGCCACAGGACTGAGTTGTCAAGCAGTTAGTTTACCTAGTAGAACATGTGAGTTGCTTCTTTGCAGCTGCCTAATCTGTAATCACTAAACTTGATTATGTTTGTGACTTTGACCTGTTAAAACAATTAATTTAACGGTGGCCAGATTTAAATTAGTCATTTTTGACAATAGTTTGGCTGTTAGTTATTCAGCAACTACTTTTTTGCTGCCTTTTGATATCCTTTTCTTTGGTAATAAAAGGGTGAAATGATTAAAAATTGACATTTCATCTGAATTAACTTTTGCCAGTATGCACATAGTAGAAAATACAGTTCTGTGGTTTTGGACCATTATGTTACATTTTAAACAAACATGCAGATAAATCTGTTTTAACACCTGCTGCAGAAATGTGACTTCTTTTTCCATTAATACTCTGAACCTTAAACAGGATTGGCTCAGTTTGGCCCAGAAAGCCCAAACTGGGGTTGTTTTCCACTTATTTCCACTTAGAATTAGAGACTCACCTGTGCTTGGAGAGTCTATTCACGTAAAGAACTGTTCATTTTAAAACCTGCTTTTAGGCCCACTTACGCTGGCCCTATTCATGTCTGTGAAAAATAAGAAAACCACAGTCATTGTGCAGTTCCTAATTAAACAGGATGGCATTGCCCTGATTGTCACCTTGTGTCCCTGCTGCAGACTAGCCTCTTTGAGCACGCTCTTATTGTAACTAGTTTAAACGACCTACAGACTTACTACCACAATGTGAATTAGGCTGCTCAACGCAAATACATGGTCAGTCTGTACAGTCTAAAACCAGCTGTTGTATTTCTGAGTACTGAGGCTATATTTGACCGGATTAGACTCCTATTTGTGTTTGGAGAGGCTGTTCGTAAAGATGTTTTCTATTCTTAGTCAGGTAAGGAGGTTATTCATAGTAGCTTGCTGAGTTGTAGCTCAGGTGAGTTAGTTTCTCAGACAGCTGTTAATAGTCTTTAGACAAGCTTATTGGCTAATACGTGCAGTGGACTGGCTGCTTTGTTTATGTACTGACTTTGTAGTGTTGCAACAGAACAGGTGCTCTTATCTTTAAATCAAATTGGTCAAAAAAGTATCAATGAGTACATTTATTTTATTTTTTGCTGCCTTTTGATATCCTTTTCTTTGGTACAGCTTGGTGTCCTGGTGCCTGCAAATTGCACAGAAACATATTGGTGCTTTTGAAGATACTAGTGTGGTGAAATACTAAATATTTACATTATATATTTTCCTTTTTCATTCCCTAACATTAACAATACTGTGTTTGTATGTATTAATGCATATAATATACTAATAGAGTTATAGTCAAATGGGAAAATGATGGTGAGATGAACTTTTTGGTAGCTTACTCTTAAATTTATTATTGCATCATATTTGTGAGGTTTTATTACTCCTGGTCCTGCCTTAATTTCCACGTCAGTCTTCTGTGAAGTACTTTGAACTGCACTTACCTGCTTTGGAGGTACTATACAAATATAGTAGGATTGACTGATTACTTGCTGCCTGCACTGTGGTGTGATACCAGTTAATCTGTGACAGACCAATACCAGCTGACACACATATATATATGTAGGTCATTCAGAAAAAGAGGGTTTAAAAAATGCATATATATGCAGCATCAATGTGTAATAGGTGCATGTCGTAGTAAAAAAACAAAAAACCCACCAAGGGTCTAAAGAATAAAATGTTATTAGGTAAATTATTTACACCAATGCCGTCTATTTCAAATATTGTGTCACTGGAAAATAACTAATTACACCTTTGAGATACTTGTACTTGAGTACTTTTTCCACAAAATTAGCTTCACTTTTTTACATTGGCATGGAAATTTGAGCACTGACTGAAATTGCAATATTACCTAGCCCAATTAAGAGACAGCTTTTTTCATTGAAAATATTTGATACCTTTGAGTCCTTCATGGAGCATGATCTGAAGCTAACTCAGAATAATAATAAAATTGCGACACAGCTCAGGTTCTAATTACTGCCAACATCCATGTGGAAACTAAAATGAACTATGTACTGCGGTGCTCAGAGAGTGGCACACAGACTTAGTAAGTGCTCCTTTGCAATCTAGCCTGCTTTCAAAAACACTTTCTAAGTCTCACACACTAATACATGCTCAAGCTGTCCAATCTAAAACCAGCTGTGGGTGCTGGAGTCTATATTTAGCAGAATTAGAGACTCACCTGTGCTTGGAGAGTCTATTTGTAAAGGTTATTTCTATTCTTGGCCAGGTAAGCTTGTTATATACAGTAAGCTGCGTGATAGTGAGTCAGTGTCCTCGAGCGCTGTTGATTTTATTGTATTAGTGTAGTGTTAAGCTTGTAGGTTAACACCTTGGGTCATACATGTACAGTATAGATGCATCAGTCGACATCAGGTTGTGCAGAATTAGGGCTCTAACACAAGATACAGAAGACAGACCGAGGGAAAAAAGCACACCGTTTTATCCAGAGTAATCACAGAATTGTGCACAGGACCGCACACTGAGAAGCATAACAGATGTTGAGCCAGAGACTGAGAGGAAGGCATGACTATTTATGCATAACGAAGTAATCGGGGAAGTGGAAACAGGAGGGCAACAAGACACAGCTGAATGAAATCAAGACAATGAGATAAGGTGGGAAGTAAAAATAAAAGTGGGCACAGGAAATGACCAACTATCGGAGCAAAACGGGAATGAACCCAAAGGATAACTACTAAACACATGAACTCATGCTGAGGCAGGAATAACAAAGTCACAATAGAAACTCAAGAGCTAACAGAAAATTCATCACCAAGGAAACCATGAGTAAAAAATCAGACACAAATAATACAAAAAAATACATAATAATTCAAACAGACTCTTTAAGAAATAAATGGGGACATTAAAAGGTCAACAAAACAGAACTCTAATCAGAAATAGCATTTAACAAACTGGCCTAACCATATGAGACAGATTGATCTAATATACTACTGGAGTAAAATATTTTAAGTTCAAAGTTGGATACCACATGAACAATGACTAAAATACATATAGAAATGTAAAGACCCAAACCCCTTTGCTGCACTCCCAATGCAGATTTATGTAAGGTCACCACAGAGGGAAAACCAACCTTAACTATACTTACAGTTGAAGAGAGCTTCTTTTGTAACCCAGCTATTTTGAAGCTGCTGCTGGGACACCGATCACTGATTCACATTCACAAAGGCAGAAAACAGCAGCTTTCTTTAGCTCAAGTATAAAAACCCTGTTGTGAGTTTGAGTATACTTGTTCCTTTATTATAAGAGTTACATGTCATTATGTTAGGTAACTTGAGTATAGAGTACTTATTATTTTATTATTAGATATCCAATATTCTTTTAGGTGATGTAATCACTCTAGAAGTGTTTGACCCAGTATTTTGAGTTGTTAAGTTTTGGTGTGTTTGTGCATTATGGATTGTTTTCTTATTCTCTTGTAGTGCTTGTGGTGATGATGATTATTAGTTTCATGTTTCTGTTTATCTGTGTTTAAGGATTTGTTGTTTCATGAATTGTTTGAGTTGCATGTGTCTGTCTGCCTCTCTGTCTGCGTCTTTGTTTAGTGGTTTCTTGTTTCCTGTTTTATTGTGAAGGTCTGTGTCTCATGTGAGTGTGTTCAGTTCTACTGCTCCCCTGTCTCGTTAGTCCAATTTCTCCCAGCTGTGTCTCCCTCCTGTTGCCCATTGCCTGATTACCACCCTGCGTATATTAGCCCTGTGTTTTCCTGTGCTCAGTGTCGCGTCGTACCCTCGGATTATGCCTGTGTGTTTTTGGTCTCAGTGGTCACTTTATGTTTTGTTTGATGCCAGCAATAAAGCTGTGGTTTTCAGTTACATTTCCGTCTCCGAGTCCTGCACTTGGATCCACATCTTCACCTGCCCACACACAGAACCCTGACAAGAAGTGCATATAAAATATAAAACATATGCACAGAAAGTCACCTCTTTTACAGTTAGTTTCCTGTTGTTTAGTTATTTAATTATGAGTTGGTTTGGCCCACCTTTACAGTACAAAAAGATCACTTTAATCTATTACCTTGCACGCAAAGCATATACACCAGCACTCTAATAATAAAGATGATGTCGACTTTCATTTGCAGTGTTAAACTAAACTGTCCCTGTCCTCTTTTCCCACACAGTTCGAACTCCCATAGTCCATCTCCACCGAGCAGTTCAAACGCCTTCAGCCTGCTGAGCTCTGAGCAGGACAACCCTTCAACCAGCGGCTGCAGGTAAATCCACCACCTGTTGCTGTATAACTGAAGAAGCTTCTTGTCACTTCACGGGACATTCTCACTCTTTGGGCCACAAGAACACCTTACATAATAACACAACCAGCTATTGTGCCTGTTATTTACTCGCTTTCTAAGGGACTGTTTTCCTTGTCTGACTCGCCGCTGTGCGTGTATGTGTGCAACTTGCAGTAGCGAGGAGTCTGCCAAAGCCAAGACGCAGAAGGAGGTGATTAAAACTCTGAAAGAGCTGAAGTTTCACCTGCCTGCTGACAAGAGACACAATAACAAGTCGACCACGCTGAACACCCTGAAGTATGCACTTCGCTGTGTGAAACAGGTGGAAGGTGTGTACTGTCTAAAAGCGTCAGTCTGAGTTTCTCTTGTTTCTGTGGTCTGTTCCTCCTTCTTAGTAGCTACTTTTTTATTGAAACACTTAACATTCGTGTGTAAATGTTTGCTTTTGACTCCTATTTCTGCCACAAGAATGTCCTCTGCGCAATTTACAGAATTTGCTCAAAGCCAAACCCAAAAAGAAATAAAGGCATAACTTTGAGCAGGAGGGAATGTTTATGTAGGCAGTTTCCAGGTAATGATCTGTAAATGCTCACCTCATTCCTGCTGAAATGCTTGCAGATGTTAATGGGTGGGCAGATGTTTACTTGCGACGCATTTCAGCATAGCACTGAGATTTAGGATTACAGACTATTACATCAGCTCTGTCTTGGTAGTCTTATGTTGATACTATTTTGTTAGTTTTGCTAGTTTTCATCTACTCTGAGCTTATATTTTGAGCATATTCTGACAAAAATGTTCTGTGTATATTTCTTCTTTCAGCCAATGAGGAGTATTACCAGCTCCTGATGATCAATGACAGTCAGCCTTCAGGCCTGGATGTGTCTTCATACACAATAGAGGAGATCGATAGCATCACCTCTGAGTACACTCTCAAAAACAATGTAAGATCTTGAAGTAGCTTTTAAAACTGATTTGTGCTCTTAAACAATAACAAAGATGCAAAGAAAAAGTCTTGTAATTATTATTTTTTTCCTCAAACCACAATTTCATGTCTTCAACAGGATATGTTTGCAGTTGCCGTGTCTCTTATCACTGGAAGGATAGTCTACATTTCTGACCAGGCTGCCTCCATCCTCAACTGTAAGAGAGATGTGTTCAGAAACACCAAGTTTGTGGAGTTTCTTACACCGCAGGATGTCAGCGTCTTTTACAGCTTCACGACGCCTTATCACCTGCCCTCCTGGAGCATGTACACTGGAGCAGGTATGGTGACGACACAGATCTCTGAAGTAATTGTTCTTATGGATCACCAGAAGGGATTTCAACGTTAATATAAGGACAGATTTCCAATACAATATTTTCAAGAACAGTTACAGTATAGCAAAAGAAAAGCCAAATAAGTACAAATATGGGTTTATCCAAGAGGGCTTAGCTTTTGAGCGTTTAAGTTAAATACAGACAAGTAATAAGAGGATGATGTCAGACCATCCATTACAAGTACCAGAACTATATAAAGACTTCACAGAAATGGAAAAACATCTGAGAGTCTATAATGAAGAGGCTTAGAGGTACTTTATTAAGTTTATGTTCAACGGATTCAAGTTATGCATTTAAAACCGCTGATGTTTACCCCTTTTCACTCAGCTATATGGAACAGATCGAGCTGTCTCAGTCGTTAAAGCATAATCTGGAAATTATAATGGGTTGCCAAATGGGGAAGCTTTTAACAGTCCACAAAAGAACAAAACGTGCAAATGTCCAAGACACAGTTTGAAATCGGATAATGAATACCCTTCATTTAATTTTCCCAGAGAGACTCTGTGTAACGGATAATGGCCAGCTTCACCAGTCAGTGTGGTGCCTTAAATCTTGTTTACGCACAAAGACCCTTTTAGAGGTCCTGCATTTAAATCCCAGATGAGCCCTGTGTGTGGGGAATAGCTCAGAAGGGTGGTGGCAAATATGGTGCTTGTAACACAAAGTGCTCAATAAGACTAAATATACTCCATAAATCATTTACTCTTTCTCCCAATTAGGCCTGGAATTATTTTGGCTGGTGTACCATGTATGTTTAAATTCATTTAAAGTAAGTGCAGGGCTGGGCTTCCAAAGGATGTTTATTGATGGAATTAATCAACCATTGGACACCTACAGGAGACCAGACTCTCACCACCATTTGGCTGGATCGTGTTGCTTTTGAATTAAAACGTTTCTCTTCCCATTTCAGAGTCGTCCCCGCCTGACTGCATGCAGGAGAAGTCCTTTTTCTGTCGTATCAGGTGGGTGGGTGCTGGGTCAAATGCAGTGTCGGGCCATCTGCTGCTCGTACCTGCTCTTAGTTCATATTCATACTTTCTATCCAGGCTAGATGCTTTTTCAATGAGTTTGTGACATCATATGCGTAAAAACCTGTAAACAGCTGCTTTTTCCAGGCCAGCGTTAAAGACCATTTACATATTAACAACACACTTAGCATTTGTTAGGATGTTCCACAGACTTCTATAGCATTCTTTAAATCTTTTATTTTAAAGAATTCTTTTATTTAACTGTATTTTGGAGTATTGGTCTGATCTATGGGGTCACATCAGAGATCTAAAACCTTAAACAGAACAGCTATTTAAAGTTGTGCACACAAACATTCACTCCTATTTACTGATGGGTGGAAAATGACCACAGAGCGCCCCCATGTGTTCAGATTCTAAAATCCAAAAGCGATTAAACTAGAGGATATTTGTGCATACTTGACTCATGTACCCAGTCTCATCTTTGTTTGGCTCACTTTACCTCTTTTGCCTAATATCCAGCGGTGGTAAGGAGTGTGAGGGTGACCTGCAGTACTATCCATTCCGCATGACGCCTTACCTGATGAAGGTCCAGGACACAGTGCACACTGAAGACCAGTTCTGCTGCCTCCTTCTGGCTGAGAGGGTCCACTCTGGCTATGATGGTAAAAATATTGAATATGAATATGTTTCTCCTAATTTGGCTTCTCTTTACCGGCTCCCTATTAAATCCAGAGCTGAATTTAAATTTCTTCTCCTCCTATAAAAGGTCTCGAGATATCAGTCATATCTTAAAAGCCCTATTAGTACAATAATATCCTAATGGAGCACTTTGCTATCAAACTGCAGGCTTACTTGTGGCTCCTACAGTTTCTGAAAGTAGAATGGGAGGCCGAGCCTTCAGCTTTCAGACTCCTGTCCTGTGGAAGTGACTCCCAGCCAGCGTTTAGAAGACTAACACCCTCTCTAATTTTAAGATTAGACTTAAAACTTCCCTTTTTCTTGAAGATTGTTGGGGTTTTCTCTCTGACACCGTAAGGTCTTCATCATACAATTTTAAAAAGTGTGTTAAGAAGACTGTCGTTGTGTTTTGGTGCTATAGAAATTAAAGTGAACTGTATCTGTATATTTTTTTTTTTATCCTTAAGCACCCAGAATTCCAACAGACAAGCAGATCTTCACCACCACTCACTCTCCAAGCTGTGTGTTCCAGGATGTGGATGAGAGGTAAGCCAAGAATGCTTTTACTGCTGAATTTAAACTAAGTGATCTCTGAAAAAGGTGCAAACATTTGGTGCTGTTGGCTGCTAACACTGCACTTTGTTTCAGGGCAGTACCTCTTCTTGGGTACCTCCCACAGGACCTGATTGGCACCCCAGTCCTCTGCCACTTGCATCCCAGTGACCGCCCGATCATGCTGGCTATTCACAGAAAGAGTGAGCCCACACAAAATTGACAGAAGAAACATCAACATCCAGTGTAAACAGGGGAAATCAGCGCCTGTCTCAATCTGTTTGTTTTTCCTCTGCAGTCCTCCAGTGCGCAGGCCAACCGTTTGACCACTCGTCCATCAGGTTCTGTGCAAGAAATGGAGAGTACATCATCTTAGACACCAGCTGGTCCAGTTTTGTCAATCCTTGGAGCCGCAAAGTCTCCTTTGTTATTGGGAGACACAAAGTCCGCATGTAAGTATTTATTACCTAAACAAGTTGATACATACATTTAAATCGATATTAGATTAATATTTGACCACGCCATATGTGACATTATAGAAACAAGTTCTTAATTGGATGACAAAGCTGCTTCACGTAAGATGTGCTTGTTTACCAGGGGCCCCGTGAATGAAGACATTTTTATGGGCCCAGTCTCAGGCGTCAGAGAGGTGAAGACCATGGACTCTGACGTCCAGGAGATTACTGAGCAGATCCATCGGCTCCTGCTACAGGTGAGGAAAAAAACAAAACTAATATAAATTAAGCTGAAAGGAAAAAAATTCAGTTGGAAGGTAAAAGAAAGAGCAACATTTCAAGACCCTACACAGACTAAGGATTGATCGACGGAAGGAGATTAACAGTTACTGTTATTGCAGGTGCAATGTCCTCTCTGTCCCTGGAAATAATCTCTTCATTTGTTCCTGTTTAATCTTTTTCTTTTTTCTTGTTTTTTATGTAACCAGCCTGTTCATAATAGTGGGTCCAGCGGCTATGGTAGTCTGCACAGCAACGACCACTTTCTTGAAATAGGCTCCTCTAACGAGAGCCTGTCGTACAACAAGATGCATCAAGAGGAAGAGGACATGAGGGGCAAAGCCAGACCTGTGAGTAAACCCACAAACATGCATTATTTCTTAAACGCTGCATGCACTGCATTTATTGTTTGACATTTTAGTTTAGCATCCGAGTTTGAGTTCAGCAAAAACAAGGCACGTGTGCATGCATGTCGCAGATCAAACACAGTCCAAATACATGCATGTTAGGTGCACTGGCAAGTCTTACCCTGCATGTAAGGGATATGAAGCTCTCGAGTTGTATAGAAAAAAAGCACTGTATGTGTGACAAGGTAAATGTGGCTTGTAGTCTAAAGAGCACTGAGTAGTGAGTCATGCTCACTTTCTCTTTATGGACGTCTGATTATTCAACAGTTGGCAGTGAAACTATTCAGAATCTTGAACCTCAAGTTGCTGCTAACCACTAAGTAAATTATTCACTTGATTATATGGCGAAGAAGTGACTAAGGAAGGGAATTAGGTCACTGTTACAGCTCACTGCAGTGAATCCTTACCCATGTGGTCAGGGTAACAGCACTTTTGCCTCAGGATTATGAAACAAATTTAGCCAAGATTAATATGAATTTAGTCTTAATATTCTTGTATTATTATTTTGAATGAAAAGTCTTGACTCTTGTTTGTCTATTACCAGCGAACTTTTCAAGAAATCTGCAAGGGAATTCATCTTCAGAAGAGAGAAGAGCAGCAGACGGCAAAGCCAGACAACAAAAAAAGCAATGCCAGTAAGTCCAGTGAATAATTATCTGCATATTTGCTAGGTTGCAGAGCTAATTTTTTGCAAATTGTTCAGTCGCTGATACAATGAGGTGATTTCATATTAATCTTAGACACTAATGCCTAATTTGTCTGCTGCAGAGTCTGTACAGAAGAAGAGCCAAGCCGTGGTGCGACCCAAAGACTCGGCTGCTCCTGTTAACTGGAAGGAGGCGGGATCACCTATGGAGGAGAGCAGAGCCTCTTTCCAGGAGGACCTGGCCTTCAATGATCAGACTGTATACTCCTACCAGCAGATCAGCTGCCTGGACAGTGTTATCAGGTACAGAGATGACTCATTAGAAGAAAATGCCAGCCATTAGCATTGCTCATCCCATGTAGAGGGACTTTATATGTTCCTGTAATACGTAATGGATACAAAGAACGTTCAGCAAGTTCTCTGTATCATATTTCTCTGTTACTGTCCACATTCATGGTTTTACCAGGGAGGAATTGGAAAGAATTGTTACTATAAAATTCAACCTTTACAGAGTTCCTAAAGTTCTTGATTGTCTTTGACTTTTACAATCGGGTATTATCAGCATAAATACTAATTTTGTGATTGAAAAATCCCTGTAGGTACTTGGAGAGCTGTAATGTTCCCATCACCATGAAAAGGAAATGCCAGTCTGTCTCTAACACCACGTCCTCAAACTCTGATGAGGACAAACAGAAGGGATCCAGCAGCATGCAGCTGTCTAATGGTATGTGGCACTACTTCAGATCATCTAAAATAAGAATAACACAAACCTCTTACCTTTTTTTTTTATCATGCAAAGTTACAGCCTTCTAAGGCTTTCAGACTCTTCCCTTTAAACTTCTCTATCAGACTCTTCTACAATACCACTTCCTTGTCAGTAGTTCCTGTTCTCTGTTCTCTTTGGCAGAATCATCCTTGTTGAAGGATCAGTCTGGTCTCTCTGCTTTGGATGATCAAGATAAAAAGTCCACTGACGCAGCCACAGCGGTAGTGGGCACTTCGCGGCCCCTACCTGTACCAAACAAACCAGAAAGTGTGGTGTCCATAACCAGCCAGTGTAGCTACAGTAGCACCATAGTGCATGTTGGGGACAAGAAACCTCAACCCGAGTCAGGTACAGTGACGTGAAAAAGTACTGACCTCCAACCAGATTCCCTCTATTGTTGCATATTTAATATACTGGAACTCTACAGGTATCTGATTATTAAGACAAAAAAATGTTGTTCGATGTGAATCGCACACTCTTCAGCTTATTTCTGTTTAAAGAGCACTACAGAGTACTGAAAAATCAGTGATTTGGAGTGATATTGGCGACTGTAACGGATGCAACAGATTGTTTTTGTTTTTTTAAAACCTATTACTGTGGATATTTTAGTGCTTTTTACTTCATGTATGCAAAAAATCCTTTTCTGCCTCTTGGAGATCTGAAACGTCTCAGTGTGGAAAAATATTCAATAATAGAAGAAATCAGAGGAAAATGGCTTCTCACAGCACTGTAAATGCAGCCTGTATGTGTACGTGCTCATTTATGTGTGTCTGTGTGTTTGTGATGCTGTAGTTTATCAGCAAAACCTTCAATACAGGAAAAAAAAACAATGGCAAATTTTCAGTTCAAGTTCCTGTATGTATGAAGTGTGTTTGTGTCCTATTTGAAATAACTGCAAAGGTTTATGATGGGGGGGCAAAGACACATGCACACACACTATGGCAGTTTAACACACTAAACTGCCATAAATATACTCAGTTACAGAGAGTTTAGACAGAGCCAGTCAGTAGGAAAAACTGGTTTAAAAGGCAAAAAGCTAAAACGGCTCGATTGTCTGCACCAAAGCTCAGTATGAATTAAAGAAGGATTATCTTAAACTGAAACCATGCAAAGCTACTCTGCAGTTCAAACATGTAACATAATAATCCACCTTAGTTCAGAATAACAAAACCAACAGTTATGTCTATAGCTTCTGTTCTCTGAAGGAGAGGACTGAGGTACAACACGTGTAGTAGAGGATATCACACCCCATACTATGTGCTATACTGAGTGAAACGACTGAAAATGAACTGAGCTATTTATGCAAAAATGCAGCAAAACTCTCACTGATTGTGCACCGCTTCATCTTAATACCTCAGCCCAATTTCTCTATATTCATTGGCTGTAACTGTTGTACTTCACTGCAATGTCTTAACTGTGCAGTTGCTTTACAGACTGTTGGCTTTGAACGTGGTTCCCAATTTGTGTGAGCCTTTCTTTCAGTGTGTCATTATATGTTCCAGTGTAGGCTACTGCATTGTTTTCTCTATGTTGCTTTTGTCTTTGTCGCTTTTAATAATAAAATGTTGTGTTGCATTAAAAACCCCACCTTCTGTTGCTTTACAGCTTATTAAAGTTATTCTCTTGCTGTCATTCATGCAGAGATCATAGAGGACGTACCGGGCACAGGGGAAGTGGCCGAATCCAGCCAGAACCTTGCGGCTCCTCCGTGTGCATTTTCACCTCCCAGTCAGGAGAGAGAGTGCTACAAGAAGCTGGGCTTGACCAAGCAGGTTTTGGCAGCACATACGCAGAAGGAGGAGCAGGCCTTTCTGTGTCACTTCAGAGAGCTTCGCAAACTCTCCCCCCTCGAAGCAAACTGCTCTGAGTACCTGGAGCGTCAGAAAGAACAGATCGGCAGCGATGGTACAACTAAACACCAACCCCATACTGACACAGGAAGGATAATTCTGGCTCACTGCAATTTACGTCCATGTCTATTTATAACCTGTTTAATCTCTATTTATAATTTATGACTCATTCCATTGATTAAACATCTTCGGAGATGGTGACACAGCTTTAAAAAAGACTAGAAATAGAGTAACAGACACAAACTAACTTTGAAATCAATCCCAAAGCTAGAGGAGTTTTATTTTGAAGGAAGAAAAAAAAAAGTAAGTGACAAAAAAATATTATGGGGAATATTCTCTACAGTTTACTGACTGGCTCCCTGTTTCAACCATAATCTGTTATATTTCCACTAGCTATGACTGCACAGTATATTTGTTTCGGTGCAGCAAGGATGTTTTTATGTGGTTTAGATCACCTGCTTCCAACTTTTATGATATTTACAACAATATTTTTTACTCTCTCCTATCCTATTATTCATAGGAGGAATCTGTAAATTGTCCACTTGGACAATGCGTGAGGAAAATTTTCATGAAAACTTTAAATAAAATATCTTTTTTCATTTCCTTGATCGTCTAGTTGCACCTGCTGTTCGACCCAAACAGGGTGGAGCGTTTGCAGAGCCAACCACACGGAGAAGCACGCGGAATAAGAAGACCAAATCAAAGAGGGCTAAACAGGTCGAGTCCTCCGACAGCACAGCGTCCCATCAAGGACCACAGCTGCAGCGGCCTTCTTTTCCAAACTACAGCCTTAACCAGACATCTTGGTCTCCCTCTGAGGCAACGCAGTCGGCTTTTCCCATGGCCTACCCTACCGTGATGCCAGGCTACCCTCTCCAGGTTTACCCCAGAGCTGAGTCCATAGGTCCACGGACAGATACCACTACACAAAACTTTAGGGACAGCCAGGGTGCTCAAGCCACTCCTGGCCCCTCATCCATCCATTCTGCTCCCTACACCTCCCCCATGGTCACCCCCATTGTGGCTCTAGTACTCCCTAACTACCTGTACCCTGTAATGGGCCCCGGTCCTCCACCACAGCAGCCAGTGTACCAAGCAGAGACTGGGGTCTTCCCCACCCAAACATTGCCTTTTGCTCAGGCTGCCTTTCCATTCCCACCTTCCTTCAGCGGTCAGACTCAGTTCAACGTTCAGACCAATTTCACTCCTCCTCAAGCAGCAGGCAGCTCAACTCCATCATTCTGCTTCCCACCATCCTCGGAAATCCCTAAGCCTTTCGTTGAAGGACAGTCTCGGTCCTCAACGCCACAGTCTGGAGGAGCTGAAGGCCAGGCCTCCCCTCGCTTATTCCAATCACGCTGCAGCTCACCCCTTAACCTGCTGGAGCTGGAACTGAACGTGGACAGGCAGGACGGCGCGATGCTCCCCTCTGGAGGACGAGGAAATACTGCAGCTGAGAGGGAGCAAACAGCAAGTGCCAGCCAGCCTAAGGAGAGGGAACTGAATCAGGTAAACAAGGAAATACAACTTCCCTTTGTCCTGTTTTTTCCCCCCACCTGGATCCTTCTTAATCTGTCAGCAGCCCACAGTGTTAAAGAATTTTAACGTCGTGGGCTCCCTTTATAGGCTGTGGCATGTTCCCCCATAAAGTTCACTATATATGCATCTCAGTTTGTGGGCTTTAATGGCGTTATGACAGTGATTTTATCCAAAATTATTTCCACTAAATAACTTCTGTTTTGCTATTGTAAAAACTCCTCCGATTAAATGTGGCCCAGGGTGTGTTAATCATGTTATTATTCCTTACACCCTTTAGCCATCTCTCAGTCTCCTTGGTCCTCCAGGACCGTTGTATTTCGGGGGTACAGCCTGTTTCTGTGAGCGTTTGTCTTGGGATAAAGTGTGCTCTAGGCTGAGTGCTTTCAGCAACGAGGTAGGCAAATCATCGTAAAACCTCCGCACTTTTCAAATCCCATTTCTTCCCGATTCCATGTCAACTGTTCCAGTTAATGTTTTCCTTTTCATGACTTATGAGTATTATTATTGCTTGTTCAGTAGACGCTGATTTTTAGCTGAAGCATGACAATGAAAACCGCCTAAGAAGCATAATAAAACCTGGAGGCACGTGCCCTCTTGAGGAAGTTAATTACAGGATAGTATTCTGTATGTGCAACTTTGGAATAATCCAGTTTTAATAATTGGTTATAAAATGAGAACTGATCTTTATTTAACTGACCATTACAAACACCAAAACACGAACAATTTAAGTTTTCTCTGTTTTTCAATCAACACAGCCATTAAGTATTTGTTGTGCTAGAAGGAAAATAACCCAAAATGCTATGTTTAACTGGTCAGAAATGCTCTGGCAGAAGAAACTTCAAATGTTTTTGGTAGCTGTGGGTTGAAGAGCATATTTTTCTGCCAAATTTTGGACTTCTCTTCCTCAGCTTAGCCAGATTCACAAGATGTCTGAAGTGAAGCGCTCTCTTGAGTTCATTTAACTGTGTCTCTGGGGTCTGACTGGATACTGGACAGATTTTTCTCTATTTGTAGTTATTCTGCAGTGGGTTTATTTCCAGGCCCAGAAAAACTCAAATCATGATCTTTTTTCTACTGTACAACGCACATAGCGTGTATGTTCTCCCCCAAGCAATTCAACCTAACTTTCCTCAGTTCAAAAAAAGCATTATAGAGTGACATATTGACAAGTCGAGGCACACGGTAAGATCAGCTTCCGCTGGCGTCCTGCTGCAGATCCCATCCTTCATCTCTCACCTTTTTAAATAAGTCAATTCAATTCAATTTTATTTACACAGCGCCAAATCACAACAACAGTCGCCCTACAATAATACATACAGAGAAAAACCCAACAATCATATGACACCCTGTGAGCAAGCTCTTTGGCGACATTGGGAAGGAAAAACTCCCTTTTAACAGGAAGAAACCTCCGCAGGACCGGGCTCAGGGAGGGGCGGGCATCTGCTGCAACCGGTTGGGGTGAGAGAAGGAAGACAGGATAGAAAACATGCTGTGGAAGAGAGACAGAGATTAATAACAAGTGTGATTCAATGCAGAGGTCAAGTTCTCTCTTCACACATGCCAACAGTGTGGTTTGACTTACTGGATTGGATATCTCCAGTGGGGTTTTTAAAGCCTGTAGCCCATGGGTCTACTATACTGTGGGTGTTTGAACTATGTGCTTCATATTACTGAAGACGATACACTAATTTGTGTGTTAGTCCTTTAAAAAAAAAATGCATTTTTCAGAATTGTTACTTTGATGAAGATCAGACCACACTTAAACTGATGCAGCTACTTCTAAATGGTTCACCTTCGTATTTTTTCCATTGCACATACACTGATTTTAGCATGACCTCCACAGCTGTGGGAACCTGATTCACAATTAAACATGTGGAAGGGGGTATTGTCGTTTGTATTGTACCGAGATGATATAATGAAGAAAGGAAAAGTGGTTTGCAGCCATCTTCTGTATTTTGCAAATGCTTTTCTAATTATAATATACATATTGCATTCATGAATTATTGACTTCCCTCACTTTAAATTAGCTGGAAAAGGATCAGGATCATGTATCTAATTTAAATCAACTACACTGGTCTCCTTGGTCCTTGTGAACCAAGGAGTGTTTGCTGAGAATGACAGTTTTTTATGATTAAGCAGAAACATGCTCCCAGGTGAGTCTTTAAAATCTGAGGCAGGATGCAAAACGGCAAGAGAAACGGCGTCTGCGAGTGTAATGAATGCTTCAGTGTGAGGACCTGAATCCTGCTCCTCTGATGTGGTGTTCCTTCAATATTTGTTTTTGCAGACAAGCTCGCAATGTGACGCTAACAACAGCGATGCCAACTCTTCATCCAGTGACATGCTGAACATTATCCTCCAAGAGGACTCCTTTTCGGGCACCGGCTCAGCCACCTCAGGGTCCATGGGCTACAGAACGTCAGCCAGCGGCACTTCGAATAGCGGGACGTCTGAGGGCAGGACGTCAGCCAGCGCAGTCTCAGGTAGTCCTACAGTTATAACCACGTGTTTTAACTTGTGATTGCTATACAGATTTGAAGTTTTTGTCCAAGTTATTATATTTTTTTTTTAACAGAGCAAGCGATTTTTAACATTTCTAAACGCAGTAGCGTTCTTTAGAAAGCATAAATTATTTCTGTTTGCACACAATAACAGAATTATTTCAAAAAGACAAAAATTACCAGAGTTAGTATTATTAGCCCACCTGAAAAGCTGACCTTTTATTGATCCATAATGTAAACAACAGCTGTGGAATGATGTGCTTTAACTTCTTACTTTGCAAAGCTAATAAAATCAAGTTAAAAACTGAGGGTTTTCTTTCAATTTACACACAGTATAAAAACTTCAGCGAGGGTTCAAGTTGTCACTGAGAAAGCATCCTGCTAAAAAAAAATTAAATCAGTTTAGACTTGAGAAAAAGAACCGCTGATGTTTAAAGAGCAGGAGATGGAAATGCTGTGATGACTTTGTATAGCCAAGTGTCAAGAACTGAACTGAGAAATCTCATCATTAAAGAGAACCACACAGTACAGAGTGAGCGTGGTAGAGGTAGGAAGTGAAAGGTTTCCAAAACTCTGCGAAATTAACATTTAGCCTGTGTAAAATAAGCATTGTCCCCTCAATGATAAATGTCCTGTTATTAGGTAGGCCAATGGAAAGCTTTTAAAACTACATAATTTGTCATATGATCATCAACTTACTTGGCCTCTAACAATACTCTGCTCTTTGGCTCCTCTCAGAAAGCACCAACAGTAGCAAATACTTTGGCAGTGTGGACTCATCGCTGCACAGCCAGAAGGTCAAAGGTCATATGAGTGGCAGAGATGGAAGACGCGGCAGAATGGAGCAGAGCGACCATATCACAAAGTATGTACTGCAGGACCCGCTGTGGCTGTTCATGGCTAACACAGATGAGAAGGTCATGATGACCTATCAGCTGGCCTCGCGGTGAGTGGGAGAATGGGGCTCAGCCAGTGAGGAGTAGGATAAATGGCCCTGTAGACACTGTGGTGTGGTAGTTATTCACCATCTGTTTGTAATGGAAGGTTCCTCAGTAATGCACTAGTGATAAGGCTGTGTGCGTGTGCAGGAAACTTGGTGTGGGATGCCTGAAGGCAACAGCTTGCTAAAAGACTGTTTAACATGTTTAACCGAGTCCCCACCATTGGAAAGCGTATGCGCAGTTTTAACCCACCCTGTAAAACTGCTTTACATTCATCACTAGCTAGCTTTGATCTCAGGTGAACCACTGGCTGAATAGATGTTTAACTACACATTTAATCCCATTTAATATAAAAAGAAGTGCAATGTCAGCAGTGAGACTCCTTTTTTTCCTGCACGATGAAGAAATGATGCTGTCGTATGATGATGCTGTCTGGTGGTGGTCAGAGGACCCGGTGGTGCCAGTGTCCGGCAGCCTCGCCTCAGTGTGCCCCAGGGCAGCTGTGGCTACAGTGTAGCTTGCCATCACCAGTGTGTGAATGTGTGTGTGAATGTGTGAATGACTGAATGTAGTGTAAAGCGCTTTGGGGTCCTTAGGGACTAAGTAAAGCGCTATACAAATACAGGCCATTTACCATTTAAATGCAAGAAATCTGTCAGCACAAATAAATAAATGTGTTAAATAACAGAAAAGGCCCACTGCCCAGAAAATATTCAATATAAATTCTGGCATCCTTATTCTAATAGGATTAGATTAGTGCTAGTCTACAAGGCTTCTACTGGGATGCTGACTGACTACCACATCTTCCAGAGAAAGAAGATGCAATACTTTCAATGCATCCTTTTCAGGCAGCATCACTTGATATACTCAGACTCTTTATGCATCTACCACACACTCCCTTAACTGTGGTAGCAAATGTTCATCTTCCTGTTGTGTTGCATCATCTCTGTGTAAGAGGGAGCACGGAAACTTTTTGTGTTCAGTGTTTGTAAATGTGGAGGAAAAGAGAAACTGCAATCTGTAATCATGACACAGAAGCTCCAACCCTGATGGTTGTAGTAAGACTTTTGACCACTAGATGGAATCCTCACAACAAAAGAGATCTGCTGTGTTGGGTGTGAGGAGCCTGACAGCGAAACTTTGTTCGAACATAAAAGTAATAAATTATCCAAAAGTGCAACATAAGCATGCAAATCAAAGCTTCCAGTGTTGTTTATCTGAGCATTTGTCACACGTGTGAGCTGAATCGTGACCGTGTCTGTGCGTTTCAATGTGTCTGCAGTGATATTGAAAAGGTGCTGAGAGAAGACAAAGAGAAACTGAGGCAGCTGCAGAAGAGCCAACCGCGCTTCTCTGAAGAGCAGAAGAAGGAGCTGATCGAGGTTCACCCCTGGATCAAGAAGGGAGGTTTACCCAAAGCCATAGATATCAAGGTAGAATTGAATACCCCTTCCAGTTCAGATATCCACTGTTAATGTAAACATAATGCCTCATTTACACCTGAACATGTTTTTTCCAGATGTGCTCCTGGTGTGATGACGCCTTAGAGGCAGCGACGGCGGTACAGGATCAGCCGTACCAAGACCTCGATGAATCTGAGACCGCCGGAATATCCTGCCACGGCTCTCCTTCGGCCTCCGACTGTCAAACACAGACGGCGGCACAATAAGCTTCTCAAAGTGTCCAGAGTGACTTTGTTAGCCACTGGCTTACAGCCTTTGAAGAGGGACCAGTTTTAAATGTGCTCTTACTGTTTCTCTCTTGCTGTTCTGTGAGTTCTTCTTGTGTAGGTGCCAGCAAGAAAACTGGATAAAACAGTCCAGATTTTTGTAGAATGTGAACACGTGTAGTAGATTCATTACATTATATTTTAATCTACTTTTTAATTGTTCACTGTGTTGTTGCTTGAGGAATTGCTGGTCTTTAAGACTGCGCCTGTTTGTTGCGTCATCCCTTTTGTAGCATGTTGCCACGTGCGGCTCTTAATGGTTTTTATATAGACTTGATTACCAGATGCTGAGCCCAATAAAGGGAAAGAGAAAGTGTGCTCGCATGCCAGGCACCACCACAGAGGTCAAACAAACATCAGTCAGCTGGGGGCTGCTCTCGGTGGCTCTGTGGTGTTTGATGAATTCAGTATTTCGTGGCGTTTCCTCGAGTTGCAACGGCACTTCTGTCATTCATACACATCAGACACCAAATGAGCACAAGTGCACTTTGCAGTTTAGTATTTATAGTTGAAAGAAATCTGATACTAAGGTAACTTTTTGAATCTTAAATTGTATATTTCTTCTTTATCCAACCGGGTTGGATAAAGAAGAACGTAAATGAGACTCCTGTGGGTCTGATATTCATTCTGCTGATGCCTGTATTCAATTGGGGGATCTCAGCTGTTAAACATAGAGGGGAAAGATGTCCAATGTAGTACAAGCATTGCTGATCAAGTGATGGAGTTGATTTAAGTTTGCACTGAGTTGGGGGTGGGGGTGTGAGGCACATATGCTACACTGATTCACATAATGTCATACTTTTAAAAAAAATCTCATTTCAAAATTTTTACACTTCTGTCATTTGGTGACACGTCACTAAAAGCAGCTCTAGATTTTTATTTTTTTTCATTCAGCAGATTTCCTTTCATCTGTTTCTGATGAAATGCAGCATTTTTGTTTTTCAGCTGTGACACTCACTTTAAAGATTTCTTCTTTTTTTTAATATATTTCAAAGCTTGTGTTGGTGTTTGCAACACTCTCTAGGCATATGTATAGGCTATATTTTTACATACTGTTTCTCTATAAATGAGTTAATGTGTTTTTAAGTTATAGTATTAAAAAAAAGTTTAAAAAGCAAACTGGACCAAAAGAATTAATATTATTTATTATAAGCTCTATTTTGAAAATGTGAATTACATAATCAACACTAGGAAAGCCGCTCATCACAAACTGAAAAGTACCGAGCTGCATGTTTAGGGTGGGTGGTTATTGTAAAGAGATTATTGTGGTTTTCCCCAGTTTTGAAGTGTGCTGCATGACGCTCGACGTGGTCTGATGTTGCAATCATAAACAAGGAGAGGAACATCCTGAACAGACTGAAGCTCGTTACTGTTCAGAACAAACACTTCAGGCTGACTTTAGGGTAATTTCACTGTTACAAAGCAGCTTGGACGTCAGGTGGCTGAAGAGTTTTTTCACTTTGAAGCCCGCGCTGTTGTTTGAGTCTCTTTGGGAACTTGAACTTTTTTGTTCAAGTTTTTTTTTGGGGGGGGTGGTCTTCAAACAGACACTGACATACACATTTTTATTTTTGTTTTTCTTATTTTTTAAAGGAAATGATTCCACTATGTTTGCTAACTTTTCTCAAAATAAAATGTTGCATAACTTAAAGCAAAGTGTGTCGTGCACCTTCTTTGCCAGTCCAACACGACGAATAAGGAAGAGACGGGATGATTTCTGCAGACTGGAAAAAAAAAAAGAAAAAAAAGAATGTTCCGACATCTTAAACTTAGCTTGTTACAGTTTTTCTCAACAGTGTCTGCAGAGCCCTAAATGCAGTTTAATTACAATTCTGTTAATCTTAGTGCCCCAAATCCCTGGATGAATATATGGATAGCAAAGTAACCTGATATGTTTACTTGAATAAAGTACAGTTTTGTTTTGGATACAAATGTTTTGTCTTGTACTTCATATGATTTATCTGCAAAATAAGTAAGGCTTTAATATAATTCTGCAAAGTGTCATTCCACACAATGAACACATTTAGTTAACTATATTTTTGTTATACTATATCTTCACTGTTAAGCTACTTAAGTCGGATCACAACTTTTAGATCCCCCTCCCACACACACACACAAATGTTTAAGGTTGCATAAATTCACCTTTAACATAATAAATCTGTAACCAGACAGATGGAAATCATGCCCCATGTTTTGTACAGCATATTCCTACACTGATTTTTAACTCTGATTAAATAATCTGACTACCTGTGCCCTCCCCTCTTTGCCTTATTATGGGTTCCCCCTTGTGCCACACCATTTAAAAATCCTGGGAACGCCCCTGCTGCCGCCTGTCTTATACATATTTAAATTTTAAAGTAAAAAGACTCATGCTTCTCTCTGTCGTCACTTTTACCTTCGCAATGCAAATGTCTGTCTGTCCAACCACCGAAACAACAGACTTCTGCGCAGATCCTCCTGATCAAAGCGACCCTTGTTCACACCTTCATACTTACTTCAAACTGAGCGTGAGGTGCGAACATGCTTAAAAAAAAGAAAAAGAAAGAACATCCCCCCCCGGACAGCTATACCTTCGGTGATATTTTAATACGGTGATATTTTAATACGGTGATATTTTAATACGGTCTGGTCACAACACAGCGGACTACATCAAGTTTAGCAAATAATAGGACCAAAACAAGGATGTATGGGTCGTCATTTAGTAGTTTATAATTTGAATTATGATAATTTACTTGTGCTTTCTTGCACTCGAGAAAGCTTGTTATTAATTTAAGTGGTCACAGCTGGGTTTAAAACGAAATATCACCTTTTTACATAAATAAACAACTATAAAAATACCAATGCTTAAAGTTTAAAATATAGGCCTTCTAACTTTATCGTATGGTAACACCGTTTGATATTTATTATAACAGTGTGTCGATCTTGTTTCTAGCAAGGGGGATTACAAAGAACAACAAAAGCAGATCGAAATCTTACCTGATTGCATTACCTCGATGTATAATTACTACTCTATCTGCTAAATAGGAGAATGCTCCACTATTCAATGCACAGTGTATTAGTCCTTTTCTTCTCATTTCACCAGTGTCCCCTATTAAGTCGGGGGTGGGGTGTAAAGACGTGACTCACACTTCACGTGGCATATGAATAGACTTGTTTTAGGATTGCTGGCTTTTCTTATTCATGCCTAGCAGTAGGAGCTAGGTGGTGCAGATGCAGCAGAACACTGTTTGTGGCTCTCACTGAGACCACAGAAGTGATGTCTGACATCAAGCGAGCTGTGAAAGTCAGCAGCAATGGCAGCCTGACCCACTGCTACGAGATGACATGCTTAGATTTCACAGGCCTAAAATTATGTTCACTTCCACAGGCTTGTGCACCACTCCAAACTTGCAAAAAGAAAGAAAGAAAGAAAAAGATGACTGTTTGTGGATATCACAGCGCAATACAAAGCCAAACTTATTCCAGAGTCATGACTGTGCAGGTTATGTGCCCACGTTATTTAAAAAACGAGTCGAGCAGAGTTATAAATTCCATTTGTCAAGTTCTCAACCAGGACTATATAAGGAGGGAGTGAGTGGATTACTCATTTCACACCTCACAAATGCCTACGACGTGCTAAGGGATCTTGGAGAGCCTGTGCACACAAATGGTCCACAATTGCAGAGTAATAACAAATATCTTGGAAACAGCCGTGGGTGGGTGGTTAGTGGGATTCTTGTGTGTGAAATTAGGTTTTTTTTCTCCTGAAGAGTCTGCTGCACAAATGGAGTACAAGTCTTTTTTTCCCCCTAAAATATTTATTTAAAAGTTTTAGCTTAACTTAGATGAGGTAGCCTACTAGCAGTCAACTGACATGTATAAATAAAATTTTCAACAGATCCTAATTAGGAAATAATTTACACACACTCATATTAGTGCATTTCTGGTGGGGGTCTACTTTCTATACAGCAGTTATATTGAACAAGTACATATTTACATAAGTCAGCAGGCCCAAACAAGGTCACTAAGCTCTGTAAAGATATATTAGAATATCTTTACGAAGAGTTTATCTGATGCCCATTCAGGCAGTGTTGGCCTATTTCTAACCCAAGCTATTGTTTCGACAAAAAAACCCAAACTCCTATTCCACCTTAAATTGTCTACCATGGTCTCCACAGAGCTTTAGAGCAAGTTAGGCAGGGCAACGCTTCTTGACCGTCTGCCTCCTCCTCAGAAGAAACCTGGCTTTGCTCTGAGTCGGTCTCATCCAGGTCAGAGCAGAGGTCGTCGCTGGAAGTGGTGGAGGGTGCCGGGGACACCAGGGCTGTGTGAATGCTCTCAGACAGGGACCAAGTGCTGCTATAGCAAGGGCTGTCCGCTACGATGTCCGGGAGCATCACTCGGTGGTACTCGTTGTTGTTAAGTGGCATACTCTCCAGAAGGTGCTTCAACAGCTCCGCTGCCACTGTTGGGTCAATCCCCGGGTAGTTGGACACAAATGTGTGAACGTCGTGCATACACTGGATGTATCCGGCAGCGAAACGCTCACAGGCCTCCCGGTGTACAGCGTCTGCTTCTGTGGACAGACAGATGGAAACGACCGTTAAACCTTAGTTTCTAACGTGTAATTACTAACAGACACTCTGTGCTCTGATTGGCTGCGCCACGGTCGAAGCGCACCTGTGGCGGCCACAGTACAGTTGATTAAAATATTAATCCGCCAAGAGCAATGAATTAATCAGTAGTTTTACTAGTTATAAAGAACTATATTACTTGGCGGAAGAATGATTTGTAAATTGTATTACTGTCTATATGTCTCTTTTTTAAAAAAAAATTAAGCTTATGGTTAATACTGTACACTCAAGTAAATAAAGTTAAATAAGGTTTATATGTACGGTTTACCTTGAGCACGTCTTTGAAGAGTGCCTTCCACTCGTTTCACTGTCATCTCCAGCACTTCGGCATTCTCCATCTTTGACTGTAACTGCAGCAACAAACATCAGGAACACAAGCTAGCTTAGCCACAACACACTCATCGGTTTAGTTGCTGTTGAGCAATGGCGCTACATAAACAACAGCAACTTACATCTTCGTCGGCGATAAGGACTCTGAGTTCTTGTAAACTTTCATTGATGCGAGCCCTTCTTTTCTTCTCAACCAGAGGTTTTCTTATCTACAACAGTAAGGAAAACTGAGTTGTTTTTTCCCTAGTTCAAAGCTGACTAAAAGTAGCTCTGAATCCTCACATGGGATCTTACCTTTCTGTCAGGTCTGACCCCACCGCAATCATCCACTCTGTCCAGGCCGTGTGTGCTGCTGCTGATGGGGGCCATGTTTTTGCAGTTTAACCCAGGCGCTGCCAGGAGCCGACCAGACTGGAGGTTGGTTAGTTGGTGTGTAATCCAAAGAGCCGTTAGAGGCCGTCAGTGGGACAGATGGCCGGGGCGATCCCAGCAGCAGTGAGCACAGAGAGGAGGAAACTGGGTGGGGTGGGGAATGCACTGTGTGCAGTGGGTTCATTTGCATGTGAATTGGTGAACGAGCAACGACCCCCCAACACATGTGGTCACTTTAAATTGTGTCACAACGATGTCTTAACCATGGAGCAGCATGCAGACATAAGAGTGCAAAATATGGACAAAGAGGCTGCAAAGGTAATGTCAACAACTCTGAAGGTTTTAGTTTGTAGTGGGTGAAAGAAAATAGTTTTATTTTGGAAAAGCAAAACATAACCGGAGGTTTAGCTTTTGACCACATTCAATCAATTTTGCTAAACATGTTAGTTATATTAAATTCAGTTTTATTTATTGATTGATTGATTGGTAATTTATTTCAAACATGTAAACAATATACAGGTACATATAGAAAAGAAAATAAGAGAGAAAAAAATACTATACAAAAAAATCAATACATTTCAATATTGCTACTGTTCTGATTAATTTACATGTTGAAAGGGAGTGGGAAGAAGTAAACACTTATTTATATAGTGCTAAATCATAACAATCGCCTCAAAGCCACCTTTTTACTCAAATTGAGCACACATAGTGCTTTCTATTACAAGTCTCATTCACTCAGTCTCAAGTATACACATCCGTACTATGCTTTTCTGTATGTGCTTTTTCTAAAATTTTACACACATTCAGATCAGCATCAATTTGGGGTTCAGTATGTCCAAGTATGTGTTAGACATGTGGACTGGAGAATCCTGGGATTGATCCACTTCTCTCTGCCACTTGAGCCACAGCTCCTAGGGCTATAGACCGTATGTTTGCCAGTCCACACATTCATGTCTTTTGGAGCTTGTGAGGCATCACCCTATCTATAGTACTAGATGGGTCCCGGAGAATATGGACCACTCTTATGTGTAAAGCGCCTGGAACCTCTTTAAAAGTGATCAAGACCGGAAAAAAGTGATGACACTGTGGAGAGTAGATCATCCCTATTGCATTAGGACTTCACTTTGCTGTGGTGTGGGTTGTAACCCTTTCAGGACACGCTTCTATCACTAACTATCAGCTCAAATTTCCTATATTGTCTAATTCATTGCTGCAAGTCTTATGTCTGTAGTGACTCATAGATGCTGTAATGATTACTGAGGCAAGGAGATGAGAGCTGTGTGTACACCATGGCTGTAAAAAATATGCATATATTACTGATTAGCATATTTCTTGTGATGTTCACTAGAAAGAAATGAATAATTTAATGTTACTATATATTAGTAACTGTTACTGTATATTAGAATCGTATTAATGACATCAGGCTTGTTTTATGCATAATATAGATTCTTAATCTGTCTTACAAAGTACATTTTGTGACCACATTCATATAAATTAGATTATATGGCATATTAACCAAGTAATACACCTTGTAAAATATTATATATGCATTGATGAGCCTATGGACATCTGAGCAGCATTATCTCTCTTACTACTGAGTAGTGCTGACCTATTGATAACTTTATTGCAGTGTAGTAGCTGGATCAGCCAGTTTGAAACATCACAATATTTCCGGATGATAGTGTTGAGAACATTGAGAATAGAAGATTCAGCTTTAAATAAAATACGGAAAGCACTTCCATATTGGGCGCTTGTCTTCAAAATAAGGGCACTTGGTAGCCAAATATCCTCAAAATCGAGGTAAATTTAGCATTTTTTCCACTCAAGCCGCTTTAAATGTTTAATTATATTCACCAGGAAGCAACTAAGCTCACAGTCTGTTATTTTTAGCGTTTTTCTAAAAGTCGAAGACCGATAGCGGCTCTTATTTTGACAGCGGCGAGGCGGCTTTTCCCTGAGACCCACACACTGCTTGTTCGTCAGAGAAGACGCTCTTGTGAGGTCACCGAGGCCCGGGGGCGAGCCTGGTCCGGCGCTATATAATCTTCCCGGTCCGGTGGACGAAACCAGCGCACTGAATCAGACAGGAGACAAAGCAAGCACACACTGAGCAAACAAACATGGTGAAGATCACTTTCCAGCCAGTGTCGGCGCAGAAGCCCGAAAAAGACAACGATGAGGACAAGATCATTATACCTCAGGCTCACGTGAGTTTGCACACTTTGTCTTTGTTTCATGCTGCGGCATTTGTCTTTTGTCTCGTTATAGCATAAGTAGATTTTTACTTCTGCATAGGCTATAGCTTACAAAAAATAAAGTTTGATATAATTAGTTTCGCTTTCCTTGTCCATGCATCATGGCATTTAATGGGATTGGATTTTATGTGATTAACATGATTATAAAGAAAAGCCAGTGACTGCTTAAAGTTAGATATTGCATTTGTTTTCTTAAAAAATATAATTACACCCTTATCTACAAGCTTAAAGGTTAATAAAGGCAGTGGTAGTGTTTCTGAGCCTAAAAAAGTTTTATTGTGCATTAATATTACAACAAGGGAACAGCCCCAGCATTGCAATGCAATCCCACCTATGGGATGTTGGTATTACATCACCTTGTTTAGCCACAGCTAGGAGGCACACTGCAGAAGAGGCAGTCCTGTATACATGTGGGCAATTGGCAGAAAGAGGACATCATTTTACCAAGTTGTTCATAAAGTGTGCATGTATAAGATAAAAATCTCAGGCTTCTCGCTGTCAGCGTACAGATAGCCTTGGGCTTGTTTATTCTTTTGTCGCTGTGAGGAAACAATAGAGCTGTCAGATGTGGATACTGCACTAGTCTGTAATGTCACGGTGTTATACCACGTGTGTCCTGCAGGTAGTGCCGGAGAGCAGATGAGAATGAGCGGTAGTAATCAAGCAGCAAAGTGTGTGTGTAAAGGCAGCTTAACCCTCCCGAAACTAGCAGTATAAAAAGTCAGTCTCGGTTTGACCTAGCTGTTTTATAGCTCCTGCTTTCGATGAATATATTAGAGGAAAATTCAGTGTTTATTTCAAAAAAATTGAGGAGTTTAGTTCTGTCTCAATTTCAGTTCTGCAACACTTTCAGTCTCCAGTTCTCAAACATGTAATTTAACTACATAGATGTAGTTTCTCAAACACTGATTTTTTTCCCTTGCTTGTGTAAAGTGGGGTTTGCAGAACGGCTTGTACCTGCGTTAGCTGAGTGGGAAGTCAGATCTGTCACCAGCTTTTCTTAGCCTCCTTTCTGGACTTCATCCCCAGAGTTGAACATAATTAGATATTTGGCACATAATGGAACTTCACATAAAGCTTCTTGTCTTTTTTTCCCCCCTAGCACACTGCACAGATGACTCACCTATCACTTCTGCAGACATATTTTACCAATGCTCGTTACGTCAACAGAAGGATGTGAAAGGCTGTGTGGATTTCCATTGGCTGCTATGGCAGGCTAGGCGTCAGAGCCAATGTGTGTAGATCTATTAATACGCCCGCCTCTGAGGGACTCCTGCTCTACGCAACTGTCCTCATTTTTAACTCTCACCAAGGGAGTTAAGACTTAATATCTGCAAATATGGAGCGTGGAAGTAGGCCTCTAAGAATAGACCCAGACGGCCACGTGCCAGCATCTTCGTCAGAGCATGCTTCCGCTCACCATAGCAACAGTAGTAGGGAGAGGCAGCAGATTGACTGAGAGACTGTGGGTGGGCATCTGGCGTGCTTTATTCATGTCCGTCGTACGTCTACCAGATCTCAACTTGGCACTTGCTTCTTTTCAAAATTAACTCTGTTACAAATTTGGCTTTTGGGTATGAAAGTAAAGCAGTGTGAGTGTGATAGGATTAGATACAAATATTTCACACTGCACAAAGCAAATTCAGAGTTGCAGTGCATCATTTAAACTACTCTTAAAAACTTTCACACACTACTATGAAAAGAACCAGGATGTAGGATAAGATCTAAGATCTGAACTCTAACCAGTCTGCTTTTTCTTTTTACAGGGGCAGTCGGTTCACCCAGTCAGGCCAAAGAAGCCTTTTCCAACCGGCCTGTGCTGCCTTGCCTTGGGCCTGGCAGTTTTCTTGATAGGACTGGTGTTGGCGTCTGTCTTTATCTATCGCCACTACTATATACCTCAGGTTAGTCAGCAATTACCCCTCTTTTCTTAAATAACATCCTGAACACAGTGGGTAAAAATCACACAGCTGAAAGTAAACGTCATATGCTGACACAGCTCTGTTGCATCTCATTAGCAGATCCCAGAAGACAGTTTGTTCCATTGTCGGGTTATCTTTGAGGACTCTGTGTATGCTCCTCTGAGGGGGCGGCAAGAACTCGAGGAAAACGTCGGCATCTACCTTGAAGACAACTACGAGCAGATCAGCGTACCCGTGCCACGTTTTGGTGGCAGCGATCCTGCTGATATCATCCACGACTTTCAGAGGGTAGGTGTTTGTCTTTGCGTGTTTTTTCCTCTCATTACACTTGTTTGTAAGCGTTTGATTAAGGCATAACACGATTTCTCTCTTTCTCTGTTCCAGGGCCTTACAGCTTATCACGACATCGCACTGGACAAATGCTACATCACCGAGCTGAACACAACCTTAGTGATGCCACCACGCAACCTGTGGGAGCTGCTTGTCAATGTCAAGGTGAGACACGCAGTGGATTAGCTGTTAATGCCACTTGTGGTTGTAAGAGATAAATGGCTGTCTGAGAGTGAAGGACAGTGTGTTCCCACTTTCCTGTTGGCAGCGTTCCTCCCACAGACCGATCAGTCGAGTGATTCATTTTTGTCTCTTTGCCACAGAGAGGGACGTACCTTCCTCAGACGTACATCATCCAGGAGGAGATGATGGTGACGGGGAGGGTGAGGAACATGAGGCAGCTGGGCCCTTTCATTCACAGGCTCTGTTACGGCAGAGAAACGTACCGCCTCAGACGCCGCAGCCAGCGCCAACGTGAGTTGACATATTCACTTCCTTTTCCAGTCTGTTCGGAGTATATATGAAATGTTAAATAATGTAGTGACATGTGCAGGATTGCTTCCGCTTTTCGTCACCCTCTTTTTCACACCAGCTCTTGTCAGATGTTGAGTCAAGTGACGTGTGCTGGTTTGCTGTAAACTCTGTACCTGAGGAGGAAAATGTTCCTCCACTGAGTCACAGGGAATCCAGTGTCCAGAGTTGGTGTGTAGGAGTAAAGAGAGAGTGACAGAAAAGCAAATATCAACGGGGACCATATAGGGTCTTCCTTTGAACACTTGAGACAGTGCGTCTGCAGTGTAACATGCTGCTGTACCAGCTTGTGAGCCTGAATATTATTGTGTGTGTGTGTGTTTGTGTGGGCTCAGCCTGGGAACTTCCTGCTATGTGAGTCACTTGTAGTGCAGTGGACACATCCACACACTCTGTGGAGGTGTTTGTGATTCGGATGAGTGATATCTGTGTCGTCGCTGCCTTTGATTGGGTTTAGAGCTTCAGAAATGATGCAACAAACTTCCCCCTGCGTACATATATGGACGTGATTTGTGGGGATGGCTTCTGCTGATTCAAAATGGACGTTGTAGGCAGAGTAGCTTGAGAAAGCATGTGAACAAATGTCCGCTTTCGATTCTGAACAGATTTTCTAAATGCGTCGTGTTTTCCTCTTCCAGGTATTGAGAGGCGTGAGACCAAGAATTGTCACAGCATCCGCCACTTTGAGAACACTTTTGTGGTCGAGACTGTGATCTGCGACCGGTTCTAAATCTGAGGTGGAAATCACAGCCATCCAACACTGAAGCCAATTTAAACCATACCTCTTGAATTCCTTAAGCGTTAAACTGCACTTTAAGAGCAAGCGTTTGTCTCGTAGTTTTAGTTTCAGATCCAGTTGGAATGTTTTTGTTTATGCTTTTCTTTTTTTGAAACGTCCGTGTACTATGTTAATGTCTTTTTAATTTAAACGGATTCCTGGATAATGTTATAGATTTGTTAAGATATATCTGTAGCTTGTCATGTCGTGCAGAACGTGTTAACCTGTGCATGTAAGTTTGTGACATTTACATCAATGGACTTGATTTCATTTCATTTTTATACTTGTCCTCGTATTTTTTCAATTAAGTTATTTTTAGTTACTTTTTTTGTTGTTGTTTTGAATGTCGGAAGATGGCGAAACATACCTCATGTAGTTAAGATATTACTTTGCTGGTTGATATCATAATGAGTGGTGTATATAACTTTGATTGTTCCTAAGCAATATATACTGTACATTGATTTTCTTCTTAATTTCATATTGTTACATGCATAGATTTTTATCTGAGATCAACTTGTTTTGTGGATGATCATTTCTTTCTTGTTTGCCTTTTAGTTTTGTTCTTCTCACACTTTCCTACTCCTTGGATATAAACGGCTTTAGACTGTAATTAGTAGCAGTGCTGTAGAAGGACAGAAGGAACCAAAGTCTGCAGTCAGGGATGCTACAAGCTTGGTTTTAAGGACATATGAATTATTTATAAAGAATGCTTTATAGTCTAGATCACTTACTGTAGATGATATCAAAGGCTAAAAACTCACGTTGTCTTGCTCTTCCTCCTCTTCACTCAGATTTGCCTGTTGTCTTCAGCTCTTGCCATTTCCCAATCTTTCCTATCTTGGCATTATAATGTTCTCTGATGTTTCGTCCCAGCTTAAAAAAGGAAAAGATTTTGGGCTGTCTTTCTGATGTATAAGTTGGAGTAAATCTGATTCTGTTGAGAAAGAGAGATCTGTGATCTGTTGTCATATTTCACTGTCTTGGGTACTGTATTTCGCTGTACAGTCAATTTTTCTTGTAAAATCTTGCTGCTTTGAGAATAAATTATCAAACTTTCTTGGTCATGTTTTGAATGTTCTTCACCAACAGTTTCGGTGGCTCATAATCACTGTGTAGGCTGTGGGTTAGATCAATTGGAGATTGGCTGAACAGTACTGATAAAAGTAGGAGAAACAACACAGCATTACACTGCCTTTGTGGCATTCTCACCGAAATGGAACAAAAATACAGTGATAATATCTGAAAGTTTTCATCTGCAGCTTTGTTATCAATTAAACATCATAATCTGTTCAGGTTATTTCCCTTCAAAACTGATGAGTAATACATTTGTGATTTGATCAGCCTACTTTACAATGTCTCATTTAATAGTGTACATTTTTAAATATTCAGCAGTTACTATAGTTACAAAAATGCAATATTTAGGTAAAAGTTTAGTTTCCGGCTGCATTTCATTAATTAAATATTTAGGATAAATATTCATAATATTCACTCATAAATCCTTTTTGTTTTTGTCTTCACATTGTTTTTATTTTGACTTTAAACTTATGAAGAAAAGGAAAACAGCCCAGACCTACAAACTCCGTGGGTTGGCTCAAGATGCAGGGATCACAAAAGTATTTTACAAGTAAAAATAAAATTGAGTACAAAATGCAGAAACTTAAATTATAATAAAATAAAGTTTCAATATGCAGGTAATGCAATGAAACCAGCATATGATGGTTTCAAAGAGAGCTTTTCACACATTTTTATGAAAGATATATACATTAAATACAACATTATGGTACGGTTAAGCCACCAGTGAGGCACGCTGTCATAAAACACAAAATGACCGTTCAACATCGGCAACATATGGTCAGCGACAGCTCTGTGTGCTTCATAAGCAGCTTTCCATTTGACTTTTCATGTGACAGCATTCACATAAACCCAAACAGTAATATGAAAACAGTTCTTTCAGCAGTGACCTACGCATGGCCGGGACTACATACTTACGGTTTTTAAACATTTCAATAAAACTATTATGCACCTAAGGTTGCAATCTAAAAATAAAATACAAAGTTCAGTACAGCTAAATATGAGATGCTACAGCTAACAATATCAGTTTATAAACAAAGCAAAAAAAGCATACGAAGTCAGTTTTCATCTGCAAAACTATAAACAGATCACTTAATGCAATAATCATAAATGCTTTAGTCCTCTCTTATAATAATGTCACTTTTAATATTTTTTTTATATTATATTTTTTTTAGTATCATTTATGAGATTTAAAAGACAGAAAATGAATGTAAAATCTATTAACAACGCACAAAAAAATCCTCTCTACTCTTCCTCAGGCCGTGTTTATTTCTATATTTGACTGTTGCTGTATTTCTGATTAAACATTTACATTTAATTATTATTTAATAAATATAGATGATATTGTTACTTATTTTGCAGTGAGAATTCTTTACAACCATTTAGGATCCATTGTATTATTTAATGTTTTAAAAAAATGAAATGAACCACTGAAATTATTGCTAATGTTTCGTTTTTAGTTTCATATGTTTAAAGCTATACCTGTGGATGTGATTTATAAACCCCGATTCATCTGTGTACTCGTCAAGGAAATATGCATATTTGAATTTGTAATTAATTAGATATATTGGCATAATTTCGTTTTGTTTACTTTTTATGTAAATCTGCATTTCATAGATTAGAGATTCACGACTAAAATATGCTTATTATTACGGTTAGTTACCTTTTTTGAATATAAAAAAAATAATTATGCATCTTTTAAATTCGTTTAGTCTGAAACAATTAATCTATTTTGTCTTTGATGAGAATTCTGACTAATAAGAGCCGTCTTTGTGCATGTTTGATTTCAGTCCTAGATAATATCACAAAGGCGTTTTTGAACTGCCCGCCAGTATCAGTTTTTAGTTCTTTAAAATGAGTCATGCTGCCTGTCCCTGTCACTTTCTCACTCATTGTTGGTTCGCAGGTTTGAGTGACCTTTTCATGCTTTTAATGATTTTTTAAAGCATGTCAGACTGTGGCTTTTTAGTTCATGGGTTGTTTTGCAGCCTTCATTTAACGCATTAGAGCACTTTGAGGTTAGAGAGGTGCCTACTGGCTTCCTGCTGCTGGATCAGATCATACAGCCTTGCATTCAGCTGTGTGGTTAATTTAGATTACACTCTGACCTGCTTCCTTACGAGCAGGTTAATTACTTTTAGTGCGTGACACTATGCTTATCAGCTACTGGGTCCACTATTGACTTGTCTCCAGCTTTACTGCTCTGATACAAAACAAGGTTTTAGCCTCGTTTTGCTATATTAACACAACATAACATCACATCAGTGATCCTCTAGGGACAGTTTTTGTCTCAACTTGACTCGCCTCTCTCCCGTTCAGAAGTGCTGTTGGTGGCTCTCCTTTGGCTCAGTATTGACATCCTTAAGCTGTGTCTGGTGTTCCTCACTTCATGGGCAATAAAGTAGTAGCACATGGCGTCCAGACAGCAGGTGATGTTTGACAGGCACATAGCAATCTGTATGAACAGGCTGAGATTGGCCTTGGTGCCACAGTCCTGAAATGCTCCTTGATGCACCTGCAAGTATGTGTGTTAAGGAAACATTAGTTTACCATCAAAGAATCATGTGTGACACTTTTGGTTTGTAGCAGAGGTAGTAGCATTGCAGTGTGAAGCGCAGGTCCTATCTGTGAATTTTCCTATGAAGATCCTCTCTGTGCATATCTGCAGTACTTACACATGCTTACGCACTTGCCATACTCTCCAGTTTGATAATTAATTTCTAATAATTTCTAATAACGTCAACTTTTGAAGAAGAATTTTATTGCAAGTATCAAAATTAAACACAAGTACCCCTCAACAAATACCCCAGTGGTTACAACCATTTAGGCTTGTTTCGTCGTACCATATGTGCTACTGACATAAAAAGCGCTGCTGAGTCATAACATTTGCAGCATCCTCCCCCCCCTGAATTTTTCTGATGATTACTCAACATAAATCTCAAATCAAAGTAAAAAAGCTGCAGAAAGTTAAATGTTTTTAACTGAAATATTAATAAGCTTGTTTTTTTCTTTATAAAATAGGTTCAGTACACATTATATTTTTCTGATTCAGGCTACCCAGTGGATTATAAGGAGTTCGAGACTTTAAACATCAAAATTTTAAATGTTTACCTGCTGAAATAAATGTGATAAAGGACAGCTACTAAATGGACCCTAAGGTGATATGCTTTGGACTGTTGTTTCAGTTTCTTTACACTTAAAATGAGCATAAAATGAGCCTTGAGTTTCTCACCAGAAATTGCAGGAAGATGGCTAGGTGGCTCGGAGTGAAAGGCACCAGGAACGCGCACAGCCCGCTGTAGATGATCTTCACACAGGCCCGGCTCTGTGGGCTGTGCTGACCAGACTGCTGAAGTGTCCAGATGATCTGAACTGAACAGAAAACCACCACCAGTGCAGGCACAATGAACCCAAACACCTGCACACTGATGATGATGGGAGGTTTCCAGCCTTCCGGTGAAAACTCGTGGAAACAATGAAATGTGTTGCTCTTGCTTTTCCTGAAGTTACAGATGACTGGAATGACTGATGCAGACACAAGCATCCACACGGCTATACAAGTTGCCATAGCTGCTTTGGGTGAACGCAACTGCTTGGATTTAAACGGATGACAGATAGCCACCCATCTATCTACAGCTATACACATAATGATGTATATGCTTCCATATATCCCATAAAAATAAAGCCCTTCCAAAATTGAACACAGTCCGTGGAAGCTGGCGGGCCACTTGTGATTAGTGGCATGCATTTTGAAGGGAAGAATCAACAGGAGAACCAAGTCCATCAAAGCCAAGTTTATCATGTAGATAGCAGAAATAGCAGATTCAGTCTTTTTTCGCAGAAGGCCGCAGAACACCGCCAGCGCTGCAATATTGAGAATCAGACCGACGACAAATATAGGAATATAGAAGACCAGCTCCAAAACTTTCATCACTTCATCCACGTGGTCGAACTCTTTACTGCAGTTCACTGACATGTTGTTGGTCATGATGTCACTGCAATATAACAGTTGGATTCAATTTTATCTCAACATCTCTGCCAGGATTTCAAAGAACAGTTTAAGTTGTCTTTCCTGTTTTTGTTACTCGTTCCCACACAGAAACGGCTGTATGATACGCCACTATACCAAGCCACTAGAAACCTCTCAGCTGTGTGGGTACAGGAACTGTGAACTTGTTTTTTTGTTTCTGGTATAAACAACATAGCAAACATAAGAGCACCGTGAACATTATTAACCTTTAGCCTCCTGATTCTCATGAAAGTAGTAGCAATGGTAGTCTTAGTAAAGTACAGGCAGGAGTAACTTTCATTTTACTTCGACATTTAGAAACAAATTGTGAATATATTATGATCAAGATTTCAAAGGAAATGACTTTCTGTTATTGTATTAGTTTTGCAATCTGCGACAGCACAGTTAAGTGGTTCTCTATTTGAGGTTATTTGTTTGGACACTAACAATATTCCCATTTACCTCGGAGTGTTTACTGATTTAATATCAGTTGAAAACAAATGAGCAGGTGGTTCGTCACAAGTTCTACTCTTCATTGCGTTGGTGTCAGGTTGTGATGGACAAACCTGACACCTGTTCTATTTTGAGTGAAGCCATGGTTTTACAGGAAAATCCCAAATACATCTCTGACATGAGTGTCTGTGCATCGAGTTGACACTCGACTGAAATAAACCTAATGTAAAAAAACAGGCAGGTTTTGACTGCGTGTACTACGTTTCGCTGGCTGCAGAGTCCCTCCTTACAGCGAGCAAGCTGAAGGCCCTTTGCACTCAGATCAAAATAATTTGCATGAAGATAAAAAAAGCACATTATATATACAATGAAACCTGACTTTTAACGTAAGCATTAATTAGAAGTAAATAAGTAAATAAATTTTAAAAATAGATAAATAAATGAAATATGTCTTGTAATTTAAGTTCCTCACGTTTGACTCATCATCTACATGTAACTGCAGCACTTTTAACATCTAACCTGGCGTTCTTTTGCGACCAGCTAACATGTAGTGGAAAATGTGAAATCTAGTTGTGTTCTTACCTCATGCCAGTCAAGTTTCAGTGTGTCTGACTGTCTGCGCGGTGCCAGACGCACTTCTCCTTTTCAAACCTTTGTTGTTTCATCACCACTTCCTGACTGTGCCACACATCATGCATGTGTTCAAATATGCATTATAGCTGTTTAAAATCAAAGTAACATGAACCTGCCCTGCACGTCTGCTGGAACTCTATTTTTGTGTAAACATCTGAAGAAACTAGCAGCAGCACTCACGATGATTATGTTTATGTTTAAGTGGCAAGATATTTTCCTAAAATGACTGTGGGCTTTATCCTGATAGGCTGCTTACCCCTCTCTATCAAAATGGACTTTCTTTTTTTTTTTTTTTTTTTTACTTTGACTGGGTTGGACAAAAGATAAAATCTTAGCCGTTTCATGCTGATGTTTGATTTGAGTAGTTGTAGGCCTGTAAGGCTACATGACTGGCCTATGATATTACAAATCCACTGCACCACATTGCAATTTAAGGTAAATGTGCCTTTAAGGTTAGAATTACGCAACACAGACTACTAGCTAATTTGCATTATGAGCTAATCTATGCCAGTAGCTACTTTAAGAAGTGTGGCTTTGGTGCTTTAAATCAGAAAAGTTTATTTTGTCTTGTAATACTTTCAGTTTTAGGTTTGGGTTGGTTTACGCTGTGAGAGATAACAAGAGGTACCTGTTATTGGTTCAGATATGCTCCTGAAGGCTTGGTTAAAGCTCTTGAAAGGTTATATAAAAATTTTAGACAGTATAAAAACATGGGCACATGACTATTATGAGCTCAGTCACTCATTTTGGGTCATACTGAATAGAAGATGAAGTTTCATTTGAAAATCTTGGTCATTCCTAGTTTTAAAATGGAGGATTGTCAGTGATATGAAACTGCAAAGTCATTAGCTAACCACTTGCGAATGACAAGTCATGACCCAGGGAGAGACGGTTTCAGTCAGACCCACCCTTTCCTCATCACATCTGGGGGGAGGGGGGGTTGCAACCAAGATGGCAATGTTGCTCAAAATGGGACTTAAGAAACCAATGGGTGGCATCATGTCAGCTACATCCACCTTTTATCCTGCCTGTGACCAAAATCTGAACATCTGTGGCTTTTTAAAGAAATCCATCCTCGTTGTTTGATATATTTCACTAAAATAGTAGCAGTGAGCTAGTAGGACACACTGGAGAAATCCAACAGCTGTTGAGAAATTTCAAGTTGAACCAAAGTGGTAAGCCAACCTAGTGACCAGCAGACCAACTTTACCATCTTAAGTTCTGCAGTCTTAGCAAAGGATACGCTACAAGGTAGAACACATATCAGATGTAGACACAGGCTGCTGAAAATGAATCAAGCTGAGGAAACTGTTATTGATAAAAAAATCTTGCCTAATACCACAAGTTTTTTTCATTCTCTTGCGGTTTGTTTCCTCAAACTGGAATTTCCATCATTATTTACAAATTGATTTGCATGAATCGTAAGAGATATGAATATAATGTGAATGTAGATTTATATAATATAAGATGTAACATTTGATCAAAATGAAATATAATACTTTAATGCTGAATATAAAGACCCGGCCTTGTCCATGTGACTTCCCTGCATGGTTTTTCTTTTTTTTAGGTCAACAACTAGTTTGTTTACAGTCTCTCAGCAGTCACTATTAATAAAGCAAGATGCCTCCAATACTGTGATTTCAGTAGTAGTGCTGTTATTAGTAAACGTACCGCTATGAGTTGTCCTATGTGAAAGAAAATTTCTGAACACTGCTTTCAAAGCCCTTTTCCTTTTAAGTCTGTGAGAAGCTACAGAAGCAGATTTAGACTGTGATTATGTTTAAGAGTTTCCTGGTTTCATGTACTGAGATGACTTAACTGAATTTAAAGTGTGAGAATGTGCCCACAGCTACACTTCACAGCTTGAAGTTACCGTCATCAGTCACCAGAGAAATATAGTTAAATTCAAGTACGTGAGAAGAGATCGAATTGTGCTTTCAGTTTTAAACTGGGGAAAAAAAATGCTTTCACTTTTGGGGAAACCATATGACACTTTTTTGTTTCTGTAAATGTGTTTCTTTGTATGCAGTCATGTGAAAAAAGTATGCCCTCTTCCAGTTCTAATGTTTTCAGGACATAAAAAGTCATCCGGTCACTGCCAAGTTCTTAAGAAAATACAACCACAAATGAACAACAGCGGATAACATACTACACCGTGTCTTTATTCAACACAAACTAAGCCAGAATGCAGATACGGTGTGGGAAAAACTAAGTACGCCCCCTGATTCAGTAGCTTCAAGAATCACCTTTGGAAGCAATAACCTGAAGTAGGTGTTTTCAGTATGACTTTCTTATCCTCTCACATTGTTGTGGAGAAATTTTGGCCCACTCTTCTTTAGTCTTGCTTCAGTTCGTTGAGGTTTGTGGGCATTTGTTTACGCGCTCTAAAAGCCTCGCCTCATCATTTCATTTGAGTTGAGGTTGGGACTTTGACTGGGCTTATTACAACTCCGTGAATCTTTCCTTTCTTTTCTCCTCAGGATATTTGCTTTGTTGCCTGGTCCAGTTTCATCCAAGCCTTAGATGTTGGAAATATAGCCGCACGTTTGATTCCAGAATACTTTGGTACACAGAGGAGTTCATTGAGGACTCAGTGGCTACAGGTGCCTGTGGCTACAATATAAACCCAAATCATCACCCCTCCACTGCCGTGCTTCATAGCTGGTATGAACTGTTTCTGCTGATATGCTGAGTTTGCAACGTTGCCATGCTGTTCTGAACTGTGCTGCCATGATCTTTTTAGAGAAAGGTTCTCTTGGCATCCCGTCTAAACAGGCAACACTTCTTCAGTCTTTCACTGATTCTGCTTTAATGGACTTTAACATTTAACATGCTAACTGAGGCATGTAGTTTTTTGCAGTTTCTCTGAGCACTGCACGGTCTGGGCTTGGGTGAATTTGCCAGGGTGTCCACTGTGAGGAAGACTGGCAACTGTCTTTAATGTTTTCTCCTTGGAAAGGTGAATTTCAAGTTGTTTGAAAATGGCCTCATAAATCTTTCAAGATTGATGGAAAGCAACAGCTGTTTTCCTAAAATCATTGCTTCCTAAAATGTCCTTAATACTTGTCACTGAGTTAGCACACACCAGCTGATGATGAGTTAATTTGATCAGTTTGAAAGTGTATTTGAGTTGCAGCACCTGTTATCTACTTACTCTGTTAACTCAGTATTGATTTTTTCACAAAGTACCTCTGAATTTTGGCTTTGTTTAGTTTAAATAAATTAAGACATGATGTGTGTCTTAATTCATGTATTATTTGTTTATTATTTGTTCATTTGACCCGATTTTTTTTTAAAACATCAGAAGTGAAAGACGATATACTATAGTACAGGATGACTACTAACTACTAAAGACACATATCACATTTTAAAATTAATATTCTGAATTAAGAAGAAATAACAGTATTAGTTCTATAGTAAAAGTTAAAATTGAATAATTTCTGATGTGAGTCACTGTCTGGTTTTATGAAAAGCATTGAGCAAGGAGGTTTTTTCCAGTTGCCTTGTTTAGTTTTTGAAACTAAATGTGATGAGCAAGCAGTGAATAAGAACTGAAGGACATTGCTTGCCCATATGGTACTTATGACTTTTTAGTCACCAGGTGCCACGGATCATACCATGTTTCATCATGTTTATATATCTAAATGGTACCATAATTTACAAAGTGAATGTTTTGGTAAATATGAGCGAAAGCTAAGTACAAACCGATCAGGAAAGTGTTTACTGAAGTCAAACACGGAGGGACCAGTGGGGTCCCTTCCTTATAAACCCAAATAATTTGACTTCATCTTAGCAATCAGATACATGGCGCCCTGTTGGCCAATATAAAGAAAACAGCTTTAAAGCCCAACTGAATTGGCTTCAATTTTCAAACCCAAATGTGCATCTTTTATATACAGTCTGTAACTGTACACGAAAATGTATAATGTCTAAAAGAAAAAAAATTACAGTTAATTCAGTAATCATGTGCAATCACACACACACATTAAACTATTAAAATATGATTTAATAATTTTTGACTTGATGATAAAATGGCAGCATCCAGCTGTATGACTGAGGACTCTGGGTTGTACAGAAAAATATCTCATAATATACTATACTAATTTTCCTCCTGCAAAAAAAGAGAGACAAAAAAACCCACACAAACATGCAAAGACAAAAGGCACATTCATCCAAGCACTAACTGCATATTTGCTCTGCAGGTACAAACAACACGTCTGTTTACTTTCATTGAAAAAGCCCCTTTTAAAGATGTTCTATTCTTAATTTGACTCTACAAATGTTTGTTAATGGTTTAATACAAACTTGAAAACTTTTGCACGGTGACACCTTGGAAATATTTTTGAAAATTACTCAGGTACAATTACTGAGAAAGACCAATAAAAACCTTCCATGTACGGCTAAAAAAAATTCAAATATATTTCTCACTGATTGGAAAAGTAAGACGCAGACAAACATAACCACAAACACTTCCTGCTAACATAGAAGCAAAATCATGTATTGAAGAAAGGCGAAACATTGAAATGACTGGAAAACAACATGTTTAAAAAAAAAACCAACAACCCACAAGTGATAAATGTGCTACAGCATTGCACTGGAAGAGCCAGCCAGTTTCTAAGATGGTTCCTTCAGCAACAAGTGTACGTGTTGAGCAACAATTTGAGTATTTAGGAAACCTGCAAATAGTCTGCCACAATTTTCAGCAAAGCAAAAGACACGTTTTACACAAAGGTCGAGCCTGGAGTTGAAAGATGGAACTGAGAAGCAACAGAGAAACACAGGCACACAAACAGTCATGGTTTACCAACACACACACACACACACACACACACACACACACACACACACACACACACACACACACACACACACACACACACACACACATAAACCATATGTGTTTCCTCTAGGAGGCGGTGAACTTCCTCAGTGTGATGACGATGAGAGCGAGGAGGACAGATGCTCCCAGGAAGACTGCTATAACTATGGCTGTGATGGCCCCTGGCCCCATGGCCCCTGCACACAGGCATATATATTTATTTTTATATATATATATATGTATATATATATATATATACACACACAATTAGGAAAGAAAATTTATTTGGTGGTTGTGTGCATGTTGATCAGTCAAAAATGGGACAACTTTACCTTCCTCTTCGTTGAAAACTTCTGTGGCATCATCATAGTCGATGGTGGAGGGATGGTCTGTTAAGTAGTGGGTTTTGGGGGTGGTGTCGCTGGGTGGCTCATCTCCAGACACGGTGTCTTGGTTGTCCCTAGTTGCTGGGGCAGTGTCTAAAACAGTGTCTGCAGAAAAAGGACAACAAGGATAGCTTTTATTTAAAAAAAAAAAAGAAAAGACATGGCTGATGTGCTGCATCAGCTATGATTGCATGTTTTCTTACTGAAGTCTTTCACTGCTCCTCCTTGAATCGCTACCTTATCGTGGTGGAGGGGTTTGTGTGTCCCAGGGATCCCAGGGGCTATGTTGTCTGGGGGCTTTTGCCCCCTGGTAGGGTCTCCCATGGCAAATTGGTCCTGGGTGAGGGACCAGACAAAGAGCAATTCAGAAGACCCTTATGAAAAGAATATCGAGGGAACAGTTTACCCTGCCCGGGATAGGGTTACCGGGGCCCCGCCCTGGAGCCAGGCCCGGGGAGGGTGCCCGAGGGCGAGCGTCTGGTGGCCGGGCCTTAGTCCATGGGGCCCGGCCGGGCACAGCCCGAAGAGGAGACATGGGCCCATCCTCCCGCAGGCCCACCACCCGCAGGAGGCGCCATAGGGGTCGGGTGCATTGTGTGCCGGGTGGCGGCCAGGAGCGGAGGCCCTGGCGGACTGACCCCCGGCTGCCAAGACTGGCAATAGGGACATGGAATGTCACCTCTCTGGTGGGGAAGGAGCCTGAGTTAGTGCGTGAGGTTGAGAGGTACCGGCTAGATATAGTCGGGCTCACCTCTACGCATGGCTTGGGCTCTGGAACCAGTCTCCTGGAGAGGGGCTGGACTCTGTCTCAGTCTGGAGTTGCCCCTGGTGAGAGGCGGCGGGCTGGGGTGGGTATTCTAATATCCCCTCGGCTTGCTGCCGGTACGTTGGGGTTTTTCCCGGTGGACGAGAGGGTTTGTTCCCTGCGCCTTAGGGTCGGGGACCATGTTCAGCGTCTCCATTGCCGAAGCTGCTGCAAGGTGGTTGGTGCCTGCCGTGGTGGTAATCCCCGAACCAAATGGTGGACACCAGAGGTGAAGGGAGCCACCAGGCTGAAGAAGGAGTCCTATCGGGCTTGGTTAGCCTGTGGGACTCCGGAGGCAGCCGACAGGTATCGACAGGCCAAGCGGAATGCGGCTCGGGCAGTGGCTGAAGCAAAAACTCGGGTGTGGGAGGAGTTCGGAGAGGCCATGGAAAAAGACTTTCGGACTGCCTCGAAGAGATTCTGGCAAACCGTCAGGCGTCTCAGGAGGGGAAAGCGGTGCTCTACCTGCACTGTGTATAGTGCTGGCGGAGCGCTGCTGACGTCGACTGAGAAAATTGTCAGGCGGTGGAAGGAATACTTCGAGGACCTCCTTAATCCCACTGACACGTCTTCCGAGGAGGAAGCAGAGTCTGGGGATGAGGGGAATGACCCGCCAATTTCCGGGGGCGAGGTCACTGAGGCAGTTAAACAACTCCTTGGTGGCAGAGCCCCTGGTGTTGATGAGGTCCGCCCCGAGTTCCTGAAGGCTCTGGACGTTGTAGGGCTGTCCTGGTTGACACGCCTCTGCAATGTTGCGTGGAGATCAGGGGCAGTACCTGTGGACTGGCAGACCGGGGTGGTGGTCCCCATCTTTAAGAAGGGGGACCGGAGGGTGTGTTCCAACTACAGGGGGATCACACTCCTCAGCCTCCCTGGGAAAGTCTATGCCAGGGTGCTGGAAAGGAGAGTTCGTCCGCTAGTCGAACCTCGGATACAGGAGGAACAATGCGGTTTTCGTCCTGGTCGCGGAACACTGGACCAGCTCTTTATCCTCTCAGGATACTTGAGGGTGCATGGGAGTTTGCCCAACCAGTCTACATGTGTTTTGTGGACTTGGAGAAGGCATTCGACCGTGTCCCTCGGGGTGTCCTGTGGGAGGTGTTGCGGGAGTATGGGGTGTCTGGCCCATTGCTACGGGCCATTCGATCCCTATACAACCGTTGCAAGAGCTTGGTTCGCATTGCCGGCAATAAGTCGGACTCGTTCCCGGTGGGTGATGGGCTCCGCCAGGGCTGCCCTTTGTCTCCGGTTCTGTTCATAATTTTTATGGACAGGATTTCTAGGCGCAGCCAAGTGGCGGAGGGCTTTCGCTTTGGTGGCCTCAGAATCTCATCTCTGATTTTTGCGGATGATGTGGTTCTGTTGGCTTCATCGGGTGAGGGCCTCCAGCTCGCACTGGAACGGTTCGCAGCCGAGTGTGAAGCAGCGGGAATGAGGATCAGCACCTCCAAATCTGAGGCCATGGTTCTCAGCCGGAAAAGGGTGGAGTGCCCACTCCGGGTCGGGGATGAGTTCCTGCCCCAAGTGGAGGAGTTCAAGTATCTCGGGGTCTTGTTCGCGAGTGATGGGAGAAGGGAGCCGGAGATCGACAGACGGATTGGGGCTGCAGCTGCAGTAATGCAGACGCTGCACCGGTCCGTCGTGGTGAAGAGGGAGCTGAGTGTAAAAGCGAAGCTCTCAATTTACCGGTCGATCTACGTCCCTACCCTCACCTATGGCCACGAGCTGTGGGTAGTGACCGAAAGAACGAGATCGCGGATACAAGCGGCAGAAATGAGCTTCCTCCGAAGGGTGGCTGGCCTCTCCCTTAGAGATAGGGTGAGAAGTTCGGCCATCCGGGAGGGGCTCAGAGTAGAGCAGCTGCTGCTCCACATCGAAAGGAGCCAGCTGAGGTGGTTCGGGCATCTGACAAGGATGCCCCCTGGGCGCCTCCTGGGTGAGGTGTTCCAGGCATGTCCCACCGGGAGGAGGCCCCGGGGCAGACCCAGGACACGCTGGAGAGATTATATCTCTCGGCTGGCCTGGAACGCCTTGGTTTCCCCCGGATAAGCTGGAGGAGGTGGCTGGGGAGAGGGAGGTCTGGGCCTCTTTGCTTAGGCTGCTGCCCCCGCGACCCAGCCTCGGATAAAGCGGATGAAGATGGATGGATGGAGTCTCTAACCGGCCTGCTTGTCTTTGTGTTAGGTGGGATGCAAAACTACATGCATGGGGCTTTCTGTAAGGACTCCAACAGCGTCTCTCTTGTCTCACTGGGTTAACAGCTCAGGTCTGGGTATATGGATCTCTTTGTAGAAGATGAACATTTTATCCGTTTGAGGTCCAGGTAGAGTCTCTCAACATGTTTCTTTTCCCCCAAAAGGGTTCAGCCAATCTTAAACAGAACAAACAAACAAACATCCTGTAGGAGATGAAGTGATTTGCCGACTCTGCTCTCAACTTCAGTCGTCTCTTCTCCTTCCATCCCAAATCTTCTTTGTCTGGCATTCCTCTGCTCTGAGCATGTAGTCACCCTGAGACTTTTCACACTGCTGCAGTAGCCAGAAAAACACAATGTCTCTCTGGACTTAATTTTTTGTGTTTCCTAACCAATTTTTAGAGTTTAGGAAATGCTCACTTGGAGAGTTTAAACCACTTTAACGGCTTGGTAACAGCTTTGGCAATCGAACAGCTGTACAGATGTTTTTTAGAAGTTAGAGGGGGAAAAACTGATCATCATCTCTGCTTAAAAAATAAGCTCGATGTAGACAAGCCCACCCATTCAGACCCTCACAGATTCAATTATTCTGTCCTCAACTCTGCGCATACCAAAAAACTGTAATGCAAACATATTTACACTCGGCTATTTGACCCTACATATTTACTTTGTGGCCTTTGATGCCCTCAGGAAGCTCCTTCATCCTTATTTCAGGCTCAAATGCACCTTATTTAGTTGCTAACAGAGGGGAAAACACAACAAAATTACTGAAACTAGTGCACATCATATCATGTCTTGTTAGCGGCAGTATCTCTGAAATTCTGATACGCAGCCTGATGTCAGTATTGACTCAGAGTTGTGTGCAGCTTCCTGTCCTGTAGCTGGCTGAAGGTTTGGAGGCCCGGGCCTGTGGCCAGCTCAGGCATCAATGAGGCCTTCAGCCGAGGGCACAAAAGGCAGCTTGTGCGGTCACGCAGGGCAGCAGGCTGCAACCAGTAACAACCGGACAGGCTCTAGCCAGCCAGTGGCTGGGCACTGGATGTCAAACAAACTTGTTTATTAAATATTCTCTATGTGTGAAAGGCTGCACCTTCTGGACAGAATGATTTAATAAGAAGGTTAAAAAAAATAATAACATGTTTTCCGTTGGGTTTGTTTCCATGAGGTAGGGTTTGAATCTAGTCAGGGAGCCACTAGAGAAAAAAAATATTATCTACTGTCTGTGCCTCAGCATGTTTGGACTCACAGTTCTTTCACATGACCACTCCAATGGTTTTCTTATAAATGGATTATAATCTCTATTAACGTGGTGATTGTTATTGTGGTAATTAGTCAAGTTTGGATTTATATTATTAGAGTGTTTGATATTGTAACCATTCATGCACAACATTTAGCTGTTAAACTGCAATACACGAGTGCATAATTAGTTCATAGTTAATGGAATAATTCATTATAAAGCATTTATGATTTTTAAGGTATACCTACAGAGTCTCACAGAGCTGCATTTTGCAATGGTACATCATGGCACAGTTTGTACTACTCCCATTAAAAAAACCAGCACAGTTATTTTTGATATATATATAATGATGTGCCTGTGAAACAGTTCTGACGTTGGACATCTTATTTGTTGTTCTCCTTTTTGTTAGAGCAAGTTTGCACTGTTTTCTGAAAGTAGCAGCACGCACCAGTGCTTTGAGGAGTTTTCATTTCTAAAAATAAAAATGAGTTTTAGAAAGAAGTTATTTTCATTTTAAGCCCACAGAGCATTCAGAGGAACAAACAGCAACAGCAGCCTTGAGTTGTGTTAACATGTGTGCTATATATATAAAATGACAGTTTTGTCTGTCCGATTTAACCATGTGAAGTGTGAACCAGGAAAAGATTTCTTGTTTTTTGAACCTTCTAACAAATCAAATGAAATTACATACATGAATTTTAATTTGCAACATATTTGCTGCATCTGTCATTTACGTGCAGTTTCCTGCTCACAGTAGTAGCGCTCACTGCGTGCATATGTGTACATCGCGTTTTTCAGGGTGGAAAAAAATCTTTGCTTGTTTCTCTCTTTTTAAAGATACACAACTCCAGACGTTAGCCTTTCTTCTTATATAGCACAGACTCGCTACGCGTTTGGCAGGCTGTGGGCAGGGCTGATTTCAGACACTAAAAAGCACAGAGGCCCATTTGTTGGGGCCCCTGGCCTCCTTGCTCAGGATTTCACACAAGTCAGACAGGTGACAAAGCACGCAGACGAATGCATGTGTAAAGCAACCTGGCAGAGCATCGAAAACCACAAGTAATGCAGCCCAGACATGACACCGGTGGTGTTGTGTGCCCTCGCTTCGCCATCTTAAAATACCACAGTAGGTGGACACATTTTCCACAGTAAAATATTTGAAAAATAATTGGTGTGTGTTTTGAATTTTACTCTGAAACAAGGACAGCCTGAAGAGACTTTGTTTTCCATTTTCACATTACACAACTACACCACTGTCAAGGCTACGATTTTTAACACTGAGTGTATGTGAGTAATTATCACACTGTTTTTGCTTAGACTTCTTATTTGACATTTCTCTGTGCGTTTCCTATGCTGAGTCAACCAATGAAGCTGCCTGTCACGCTCATCTTGGATGATATTGTGGTCAAGACTTGTGACAACAATTGACGACACTGCTGTATGACAATGCAGTCGTGCCACTGCAAATTTATATATGAAGTCAGCAGAGATGCAACCTGTAGCCATGACGACTTGGTCTTATTAGCACTTCTCCTGGCGGGAGTTTTTTTTTTTTTGCTCTGTGATCCAACAAAGCATTCATTCGTCAGTGTTGGCAGGCATAGAAGACATGCTTTCACCTTGCAACTGCACCCTCCAAAGTTAGAACAGCCCACAAAATGTAAAAAAGCTGTAGGCAAGTCATAACTCCTGCAGACTTGTCTTTCACAATATATGTAGGTGTTGTGTAATCGGTGACAGGTCACACATTTTTCTTTGCCTCTTTCCCATACAAGACAGGGAGGACCTTGTTGCCCCATTGCCCTCTTGACTGCTACTCTGACCTCTAGGCCTGAGAGCCAGTCTACAGTCTCCCGAGGTTTTCTCGAGTGAATCTGAGATATATTCCAAGGAAACACTGGCAGAGGTAAGAGAAAGTGAAAGAAAGAGCAGTGATGTGGCAATCTGTCAAGTGCTATTTCAGATTGTCAATCCAAAATAGCCCTTATTCAGAAAACCAACAGTTTTTGTGTGAAATGTTCTTCTTACCATCTCTAAATTCTCTTCACGCACATAAAATGCACTCCAGAGGTACCAAAATCCAAACCAGCACTACGCTGAATCACTTCAGCTTAGCTCGAGTGAGAGGGCGGCGGGTTTGAGTTTCATACGAACATCAGGCAAAGCAACTGAGTCATCCTGTTCGTCAAAGAGCAGCTTTCACAGCTCTCTCAGTTCTCACAACTGCATCATTTACATCAAGCCGCCGACACACACATCAGGCCCTCAGTGTGCCTTTGTGGGAAAAATGACATGAATACACAAAGTTTTTTGTTTGAGAGCTGTGAGAAACGCAGGCAACATTGTCTAAAAACCCTAAAAATGTACTCATATATAAGAAAAGCTCAGCTATAATAAAAGAAAATACTTTCTTCTTTATGGAGATTATGAAATTATCTCAGTGTCTGTAAAGAAATCACCTCGACCTACTTAAAAAAATGTAAGAAATTAATTTGCCCACATTTAAAATGCGACAGGCTGATGCTTTCTTTACGGTTTTGCATGTTTCGTTCTGAAACATTTCCACCTCCATTAACTTCTGCGCAACCAGGTGATCTTTATTGTGTATTCCACAAATGTATTCCACAAATATACATACATATATATATATATGTTACTCAGAACTAGAGGTTTTACCTGCATGGACGAAGGCTACCAGGAGGCTGAAGAGTACCAGCAGGGCAACTCTGCAGATGCTGCTGCTGTTGTGAACCATGGCGGCTGCAAGCGACGAGCGTCTCCAAAAACTCCTCAAGCAGAGTCTCTTAACGAATAGCTGAGTCTGTGAGGGGAGCAGGAGAAGAGTACGGGGGAGCACAGAAGGGAGAAAGGTGAGGGGAAAGCAAGCAGGAGAGAGAGGGATGGTGGGTGGAACTAGGTGTGCACAGGATTTTCTGGACAGTGTGGACCTTGTGAACACATCATCACGGGGGCCTACCCACTCCACAACTCCAGTCACATACCGTAGTTGGGGTGAGAGGTAAACATTCGGGCCTGGTCACATCACGCAGGCCTCTATTGGACATTCAATTCTTAAAGGAAATATCTGACTGCAAACTGGAGGATGTCAGTGATAAACTACGTACTGAGAAAATCTAAAGACAGTATCTTTGTTGATACTGCTTCAAATATGTGGACAGTATTTTAAAGGGGTGCTTCAGCAAACTGGCACTTTCAAAGAGTAGGCGGACTCTTCATAAAATACCAGCTTCTACATGTACGCTCAGGCGGATGGCCCAGTGATATTTTTCTTCCGTTCCTGTTAAGTCACCTGCTGCAGGAATTGCTGGTTTCCTGAGCAGTCAGTCTTAGGCGACCTACCAGTGAGGTCATTTTTTTATTTCTGTCAGTTTACTTGTGGTCTGCTCTATCATTTACAAAAAACAGTTTTCATGTGTATTAGGGATCATTGTCCTGTTGGAAGCCCCAACACCCGTCTAGCTGTTGGTTTGAGGTGAAGGTGAAGAATATGGAGGTAGTCCTCTTTTATTATTTCATCCACTTTGTGCAATATACCAATACAACTGGCAGCGAAACAACCCCAGAGCACCACCAGCATGCTGGACAGCTGGTAAAATGTTCTTATGTTTGAAAGCCTCACCTTTACCCCTCCAAACCCAACTCTGGTCATTGTAGCCAAATAGCTAAATTTCTGTAAATACGCCTTGGCCTTGTCAAGTTAAAAGATTTTGTAGAACCTTCAGCACACTTCTTAAAAGATTTGAGAGAATATATATATATAAGAGCCAACTCCACCATTGCCTGGTCCCAAATCCAGGATGAGAAAAGAGGAGGGTTGGGTGTGGGGCTAGCAAGCCCATCCTCTAAAAAAAAGCCATGCTACAGAAACTGCAACAACAAGTACATCCCGACAACTGCCTGGACAGAAAGACTCCTCTTCAGTGGGGCCCATGATGCGTGCCGGTGAAAGCAAGCTTGCCGACAAGTCTTCTTACGACCAATGCCAAGACCAGGATAGGGACCTGTAACATCAGAACCCTGAACGAAAGTGGCAAGTCAGCGCAGGTGGCCAATGAGATGAGAAGATACAGCATCAAGGTTCTCGGACTATGTGAGACCCGATGGATCGGAAGCGGCCAGACCAGACCGTCTTCAGGTGAAACCATAATCTACTCCGGGCACGAAGATGCGGACCACAATCACACCCAAGGACTTGCGCTACTGTTGGCGCCAGAGGCTACAAGGGCGCTGTTGGCATGGAAACCCGTCTCACCAAGACTCATGATAGCCAGGGGCAGGAAGATTACCATCATCCAATGATATGCAGACACTAACACAGCACAAGCAGAAGATATATTTAAGCCTGTATATATACTTTGACTCTGTGAGGATTAGAGAAAATACAAAACAAATTCAAACTTGCCCACCCGATTCTTGTTTTGTAAAGTCACTAAAGATGTATGTTGTCCAATCATTCCGCCCTGGAAAAAGAATAGTTCAAAGAAATCAAGAAAAGGCCAAAATTATCCTGACACGCATGGCAATGATGAGCACATATAAATTTCTGACCATGACTCATGGGTGTAGCCAACAATCTGGCAACGTAGCATGAGGACATTTCAGTTCCTATTTACCCTTTTGAAGATTGATTTGATTTTGTCACTGAGAACAACACAACAAGCCTAATCGCTGCACATCTCTGTCGTTTTAGGGGCTTTTTCACAACACAGATCAGTTTCTGGCTGGATGCAAACCTGACAGGTGCTTCCTCTGGGAACTACAAAATCAGATTATCATAGAAAGCACAAACTATGATGACATCGTCAGCAGGTGTATCTCATTTAATACCGTTGAATTAAATATTAGATGCTAAGTGCTTAAATTATTAAGTATTACCAAGGGAACTATTTTCACATTTTCAGAACAGAACCAGTTTAACAACCCAAACTGTACTGATGGGGTCATTTTCCTCTTTCTCACCAGCAGGCTCCTGAGTATCATTTGAGAACCGGCCTACATTTCCACTGGTTCGACCACAGATTATTATCTGGTACTAATGGCTGACATTGGGATGTATTTTCCAATCACTGTCCAATCAGCTTCTTTCCTATCATCAGTGCTCTCAGTAATTCTGACTTCAGGTTCACCAATCTTGTGGTGAAAGTATGCAGAACTGCTTCTAGGCTGGGTATCAGGGCCATGTAGGTGTAGCAAAGCTCACAGCATGGGAAGCCTGGCGCTCAGCATTTGCATTACCTAAATAAGCTCTTGTCACTGGAGTGTTTAGCCTGTGTCGCTTGTAAACTAGATTTTAGGCCCATTAACAAAAGAGTTCCCCTTCAACATTGCAGCTGCTCGTGAGGAAGCTGGAGCTGACTGCAAGTTTTCCAGTATTTCCTGTCTGCAAACTTACACTTACACTAACTTTAAAAATGTTTATGTTCAAAGATTTTGTGTTTATGTTAAAATCTTAGTCACCTCCTTGCGAACAGAAAAATAAAACTCTCTAGGACTGTCCTGTGGTGTCTTGAACAAGCAGATCCTTTGGGGCTTGTGGGACATCATGTATGTTGTGAACAGCACTGACTGTGAAGCACTGTGGTCAACATTGTTGTTTTAATATGTGCTATATAAATAAATTTTGATTTTGATTGAACTTGTACCAGAGCACCTAACTTGAGTCTGGGGAGGTAAAGACAGTTCAACACCTTGGGTTGTTTGTCAAGTCTCTTGTGCAGTTTTTGTGTTGTGGCAGGTGCTTTAGGTGTATCTTGGTCTGTGGTAATATGTAGCCGAGAGATTCACAGCCAAAGTAACTTCTGCAAAACATTTCATTGGAACAAGATGATTGTTATTCTTTTCAGCCATAGTTTTAGTGTTGTGGCTGATCACTATAAGTCGGTGGTGTTTTGATAAGTCATTCTTGGGAAGCCCATTCCTCATCACATGTTGATTCTCCAGAGCACGTGCTAAAAATGTTTTGTTGTTTATGGGAGAATTTTTAATTTCCCCTTTGTGGATTTAAAAATATGACTTGACCATGTAACTAACACTAGCGCCAGCACTGTGGGAAAATGCAGTTTTACTTCCTCAATATCAGTAAGCTGTTTTTGATACTGTACTTTCGAGGCTTAAGTGTTAGTTTTGATTTAAAAAAACAAAAACTGCTTATGTGGGAAAAAATTGAAAGAAATAAAGGAGCAAAAATCTGGTTTACTGCACGCAAAATACATTAAATGGACTCTTTATTAGCTAAACCTTACTGGTACTGGGTTGAACTCCCATCTGCTTTCAGAACTGTCTTCAATTAGATTAGTAGATTCAACAAGGTGCTGGAAACATTCCTCATATGACAGCATCACACAGTTGCTGCAGATTTGAGAGCCTCATATCTTCATATCTGCTTTTGTAACGCCACCTGGTGTGGTCTTCTGCTGCTCGAAACATCCAACCTGTAGCCCATCTCCTTCAAGGTTATTTTGAGCATGCTCTTCTGCATGCCGTGGTTGTTTGAGTTACCGAAGTCACGCTTTCTTTTGTCTTTTTCAGATCATTCCCAGTTAATCCCAGAGATGGATGTATGGGAAAATCCCAGATGATCAGCAGTTTCTGAAATACTTAGACCGGCCTGTCTGCATCAACAATCGTGTCATGTTCACAGTTGTGCAAGTCACACTAATTCCCCATCATCTTGACCTTGTCCATGTGGTATATGTGATTGTATTAATGAACAGTTGAACAACTGTACCAAACACTGTGGCCAGTCAGTGTATGCTACAGCCTCAGCTGTTATTTTCTCTCTCTGGCGTGTAGTCATCTTTCTTCTCCCTTCTTATACTTAAACACCAGCAGGTCATCTTGGCCTTGTCTACATGGCTACATGCATAGATAATTAACTTGTCCCATGGTTCCTAAATTTAATTTCATTAATAGACCCTCTTAATCACCTGGCACTGATGAAATTTCCATGCACACATTTCGAGCTTTTCACAAGACAGGATGTCTAAAATGTGGTTTCCTGCAGTGTGACTGGGTTAATCGAAAAAAATCAGTTGCACACATATTTTGCAGTTTTTCTGAATGGTTCAGACACAGGTGTGAACAGCCCACACATCAGACTGTTTTATTATTTCATACTGCAATAAAAAAGTATGACTCCAGCAGATCATTTTCATATATTATAATACAGATGCAGAATTGAAAGTTTATTCTTTAAACAGCCTAGTATTTTACAAGAAATAGATAACTACTTGGAACTTTTGAACTTGTCCTTAAAACAGGACATAAGTGGGCACGAATCCTTGGGCTCTACTTTGCTGTCATTATCCATGAACACCCAGCCAAAAAGAGGGAGGAGGGGAGGAAGGGGGGTGGGGAACTAAAGTGTAGGGGGGAACTCAATAAATAAAAACAAAAAACAATGGATATAATCTCCAATCTTTCCCAAGCTACCCCATTCATGTATCCACTCTTCAAAATATATATAGAAAACAAAACAAAACAATGAGATACAGTTTAGGCCAAATTTTAAATTTGTTAATTTTGGATGAAGCAGCTGAAGAGATGTCAGCAAATCAGCAGACTCTCCATTAGTTTGACTTCCTTGCTCACTTGGGCTGGTTGGGGGTATCCCTTGAC